TTAAAAAAAATTTTTTTTAATGTTTTATTTATTTCTGAGAGAGTGAGAGAGACAGCGTGAGCAGGGGAAGGTCAGAGAGAGAGGGAGACCCAGAATCTGAAACATGCTCCAAGCTCTGAGCTAGCTGTCAGCACAGAGCCCGACGCGGGGCTCGAACCCACAAACCGTGAGATCATGACCTGAGCCGAAGTCGGACGCTTATCCGACCGAGCACCCAGGTGCCCCCTGGAATCGGTCTTTTGAGAGAAAAATGTTCTAAGTGGAGGCGTATATCTGGACTGGGACTGGGGAGGATTTCTGGTAACTTCTGTCACCTGGTCCCCACCCAGCCGCACACTAGCCCACCTGCGGAGATGAGGCTCTGCACCTTTCCCCAGTCCCTTCCAGTGCCCGGCTTCTGCTGCAGAGAACTTGTAAGGCAAATGTACACAAGAGCAAAGAGCCCCGACGCGGCCAGGGTCCTCAAGCCCCACAGTCTCTTAAAAAGACCAGGGTCTCTATTCCAAAAAATAGAAAGTGAAGGAAAACTCCCAGACTCATTTTATGAAGCCAGCATCACTCTGATTCCCAAGGCAGACAGAGACCCAGCAAAAAAAGAGAACTACAGGCCAATATCCTTGATGAATACGGATGCAAAAATTCTCAACAAGATACTTGCAAATCGAATTCAACAGCACATAAAAAGAATTATCCACCAAGATCAAGTGGGATTCATTCCTGAGTTACAGGGCTGGTTCAACATTCACAAATCAATCAATGTGATACATCACATCAACAAAAGAAAAGATAAAAACCATATGATCCTGTCGATAGATGCAGAAAAAGCATTTGACAAAATACAGCATCCTTCTTAATAAAGACTCTAGAGAAAGTTGGGATAGAAGGAACTTACTTAACATCATAAAAGCCATCTATGAGAAGCCTTCAGCAAACATCATCCTCAACGGGGGAAAAACTGAGAGCTTTCCCCCTGAGATCAGGAACACGACAGGGATGGCCACTCTCACCACTGTTGTTTAACATAGTGCTGGAAGTGCTAGCATCAGCCATCAGACAACAAAAGGAAATAAAGGGCATCAGAATTGGCAAAGAGGAAGTCAAACTTTCACTCTTCGCAGACGACATGATACTCTACATAGAAAACCCAACAGACTCCACCAGAAGCCTACTGGAACTGATCCAAGAATTTAGCCAAGTTGCAGGGTACAAAATCAACGTACAGAAATCGGTTGCATTTTTATACACCAACAATGAAGCAACAGAAAGAGAAATCAAGAAGCTGATCCCATTCACAATTGCACAAAAAACCATAAAATACCTAGGAATAAACCTAACCAAGGATACAAAAGATCTGTATGATGAAAACTACAGAAAACTTATGAAGGAAATTGAAGAAGACACAAATAAATGGAAAAACATCCCATGCTCGTGGATAGGAAGAATAAATATAGTTAAGATGTCATTACTGGGGTGCCTGGGTGGCTTAGTCGGTTGGGCGTCCGACTTTCGCTTAGGTCATGGTCTCGCGGTTTGTGGGTTCGAGCCCCACGTCGGGCTCTGTGCTGACTGCCACCTCAGAGCCTGGAGCCTGTTTCAGTCTGTGATTCCCTCTCTCTCTGACCCTCCCCTGCTCACGCTGTCTCTCTCTCTCCTAGAAATAAAGTAAAGAAAAAAAAAAGATGTCATTACTACCCAAAGCTATCTACACATTCAACGCAATTCCAATCAAAATTGCCCCAGCATACTTCTCAAAGTTAGAGCAAACTATCCTAAAATTTGTATGGAACCACAAAAGACCCTGAATAGCCAAGGTAATACTGAAAAATAAAACCAAAATGGGAGGCATCACCATCCCAGACTTTAGCCTCTACTACAAAGCTGTCATCATCAAGACAGTATGGTATTGGCACAAAAACAGACACATAGACCAACGGAACAGAATGGAGAACTCAGAAGTGGACCCAAAAGTATACAGCCAACTGATATTTGACAAAGACGGAATGAATATCCAATGGAAAAAAGACAGCCTCTTTAATAGATGGTGTTGGGAGAACTGGACAGCAACATAAAGAAGAATGAAACTAGATCATTTTCTCACACCATACACAAAAATCAACTCAAAATGGATAAAGGACCTGAATGTGAGACAGGAAACCATCAAAACCCTAGAGGAGAAAGCAGGAAACAACCTCTTTGACCTCCACCGCAGCAACCTCTTACTTGACACATCCCCCAAAGCAAAGGAATCAAGAGCAAAAATAAACTATTGGGACCTCATCAAGATTAAAAGCTTCTGCACGGCAAAGGAAACAACCCACAAAACTAATAGGCAACTAACGGAATGGGAAAAGATAGTTGCAAACGACATATCAGATAAAGGGTTGATATCCAGAATCTATAAGGAACTCACCAAACTCCACACCCAAAAAACAAACAACCCAGTAAAGAAATGGGCAGAAGATATGAACAGACACTTCTCCAAAGAGGACATTCAGATGGCCAATAAACATATGAAACGATGCTCAGCATCCCTACTCATCAGGGAAATACAAATCAAAATGACACTGAGGTACCACCTCACACCAGTTAGAGTGGCTAAAATGAGCAAATCAGAGAACACGAGATGCTGGCGAGGATGTGGAGAAACGGGCACCCTCTTACACTGTTGGTGGGAATGTAAACTTGTACAGCCCCTCTGGAAAACAGTGTGGAGGTTCCTCAAAAAATTAACAATAGAACTCCCCTATGACCCAGCAATAGCACTGCTAGGAATTTACCCAAGGGATACAGGAGTGCTGATGCACAAGGGCACGTGTACCCCAATGTTCAGAGCAGCACGCTCAACAATAGCCAAAACATGGAAAGAGCCTAAGTGTCCATCAACGGACGAATGGATCAAGAAGATGTGGTTTATCTATAGCATGGAATACTACATGGCAATGAGAAACAATGAAATCTGGCCATGTGTAGCAACATGGATGGACCTTGAGGGCGTTATGCTGAGTGAAATAAGTCAGGCAGAGAAGGACAAATATCATATGTTTGCACGTATAGGAGGATTAGGAGGAACTTAACAGAGGACCAAGGGGGAGAAGAAGGGGGGAAATGGTGGGGGAAAGGGAGAGAGGCAAACCATGAGAGACTCTTGAATGCTGACAAAAACTGAGAACTGATGGATGTAGGGGGGAGGGGGGATGGGCATGGAGGGCACTCGTGGGGATGAGCACTGGGTGTTAATGTGGAAACTAATTTGACAATAAACTATTTGTAAAAAAAAAAAAAAGAAAAAGAAAAAAAAGAAAGACCAGGGTCTCCCAAGCTGGGTCGCAGACATAGGCTGGGGGTTTGGGGCGAGGCTCGGTCTGGTTTTTACCCTCATGAGCGAAGTTAGAGTCCTCGATCTCTCTGTTCCCGGCCGATTCGAAGGCCCCAGCCTCTGCAGAAGAGATCTCCCCGCAGACTGGGACAGGAAGGTTCTCGACCCGGGCCACACGCCGGAACCACCCAGAGAACGCCTCTTGCGGAACAGCCCCGCTCCCCAATTGCATGGCCACCTCTGGGCAGTGGGCTAGGGCGTCTGGGGTGCAAGCAGGTAGGAGCCTTGGACTTCATAGTTGGGATGGTCCAAGTCAGGGACAGCTTTAAGAGCACACACCTGCTTCTACCACAGCCTTGGCCTTCAGGGCAGAGAGTTTGCAAGTGCTCAGTTAGCCTTTGCTCTGATGAGTGGTGCGCCTCCTGCAGGAGGGCTTGATACTGTTTGCACTTATTTAGTAGTTCCAGTAATGGGGACAGACCCATAAACAACGTACGTGGCAGTTAGTTAACAGAAACAGGGACCACACATGATCGTGTTTCTAAAAAAACCTAATAAAATGTCTCTTTAAAGTAACAGGACAATTTGACCATCTTGCTGGCCGCGGCATCAGCGCGTGGCTCTCCGTGTTTTGACAAACAAGTGTACAGAAATGCCCAGCCTCAGATTTCTATCCAAGCGCAACCACGCTCTGCAATAAAAGATGGGGTGGGGGGAGGGGGCCCCGGGGGGGGCTCAGTTGGTTAAGCGTCAGACGTCAGCTCAGGTCATGATCTCACGGGTCATGAGTTTGAGCCCTGTGGCCAGCTCTGTGTTGACAGCTCAGAGCCTGGAGCCTGCTTCAGATTCTGTGTCTCCCTCTCTCTCTGCCCCTCCCCTGTTCACACTCTCTCTCTCAAAAATAAAAATTAAAAAAAAAAAAATCAAGATGGGGTAAGGGGAGCAGAGGAGAAAGCAAGGGAGAGAGGTTTTATCCTTCCAGAGTCTATCCAGACCCGGAATGTGTGGGCACGGTCGCGCCACCCAGGCCCCTCGGGTGGGTCAGGACCAATGCTCTCATCCTAACCTGGAGGGCCTGCAACCGCAGCCTGCTCTGGGCCCCACGTCACCCACTGCCTGGCCACGTGACTCTGACCTCTGCCTGCCCTCGCTCCTTACATGTGAGGAAGCCCTCCCGTGTGTTCAGACTGGGCTTGACGCGGCCCGCGAATCACGCCTGCCTCTCCCCAGCCCCGATCCCGGATCCTCTTGGGCTTGCTTTCTCTCTCCGTTACCGTGAATGGAGTGAGCACCTACTGTGTACCAGGCGCTGTAGCAGGTGTTTTGTAAACCTTAGTCCTACTAGCCACAACCCTACAAACAGATACCCCCACTTTCCAGCCCGAGAAAGATTACTACTCAAGGTCCCATTACTGCCCAAGGTCCCTTCAAGGTCAGTGTGGGTGTGACTCAAGCCCGACACCTGCGGGGACTGAATTAGATCCTCAGAAGTCCCTCTGTGGGGGAGATGACAATCAACATCACAAAGCCCATGACCATGACCTTTAGGTTTAATGTGAATGTGGCTGCATTTGAAAGTGTCTGTCTTCCCGAGTTCTCCAAAGCAAGCGCTGAGCAGATTCACAGTGAACTCCGTGCTAATAGCTGAAAACGAATGCTCCGGTCTGTAGTACAAACCCACAGGAAGGTTATAAAAATAGTTTATTTAAATGTTAAGGAAAAAGTACATGTACTTAGAAATGATTAAAAGTGCCCGTGTTAAACAAATGCTAGAAACCCAGTCATTTACACATGACGTAATGTAAAGTGACAGGAGCATAGAAAATCTTCCCAATGGCCGTCTCACTAACAAAACTATTGTAAAAATGAGGTCGTAACCTCAGAAGCTGAGTTAAAGGCACACGGCATGGTCGTTCCTGTGCATTCACAGCCAGGGATCGCGTCCGGTCACAGGTGAGCAATTCCTCTGCCATCCTGGGAGGACACCACGTACCTACGTGAAACTCTGCTTAAATGTTTACACCAATACTTTCTCCAATGACTCACAGGATTAACACCGCACACTAATTACTTCTATTTTGAACAGAGTATCTCTATTCTGAATTTGAAGAATTCAGTCATAAGTACTTGAGTTTGAGGACAGGCAAATGAAATCGAATTTATTCTGATCGCAGCCAGGCTGCAGCGTTACAGTTTTTCCAAGGAAGCCACTCGCTTGTGAGATACGGGAACACGCCGCAGCTCTGCCCTTATGCCCGCGACGCGGTCAGCCAGCTGGGTGTTCAATCGTTCACGTCAAAGTGACGCGCTCTTAAACCTGAAAGAAAACCAGCATTTATTTTCTGAATGAGACATTCTATCTTTAAGCTGCTGGATTTACTGTTTTTTTGTTTAAAATTTTTATATTTTATTTTATATTTGAGAGACAGAGCACAAGCAGGGAAGGGGCAGAGAGACGGAGATACAGAATCTGAAGCAGGCTCTAGGCTCTGAGCTGTCAGTACAGAGCCCGACGTGGAGCTCAGACTCACAGTGAGACATGACCTGAGCCAAAGTCGGATGCCTAACTGACTGAGCCACCCAAGCGCCCCATAAACTGCTGGATTTACTGTTTAAAAAGCACAGTTCAGTCCCCATGCCTGCGACGCTCTCTGGCTCTCCGTTACCAAATATAAGCTCATGTCAGACGGAAAAAGCTCCTGAAAGTGTGTAAAACCTGAAAACCGAACAGCCAACATTGTAACGGCATCGGGTGAAGGGGAGAAGCGGGACACGCAGTCAGATGAGGCTCCATCCTGTGGCGACACACGCCGACCCAGAGAAAGGGAGAGACGCCGGAGGGCCCCAGACAGCACGGGGCCGGGGGGGAGGGCTCTCTGCCTCCACGCAGTCACACACATGCTGGCGACCACCTGCAGCCTGGCAGCGACGGGATCATGTCCGTTCCTCCTTTATTTGGGTACAGTGACTCTCCTTTAGAACCCCACAGGGAGCACGGGCTGTTAGTAGAAACGCACCCCAATCCTTTACTTAATCATATGAACGTTCACTTCTCTGGGCGTTCCCTGTAAACTGAGGCATGGAGATTTCCTCCAAGCTCTGACGTCAGTCATGTGAAGGGAGGCCCTATCTTGGGTTTTGCACCAGGGTCTAAGCACGAAGAGGGGGTGCTTGTTCTCATATTATTTGATAAAGGAGTCTTCTGGTACTTGACAGGTAGACCCTGCCATGTAAGGCAGCAGCCCCAGGGAGGCCCAGGGGGGCCGTCGTCCACGGGGAGGAAGAGATTCTGTAAGTAACACAGAAGGAAAGGGTTGACAGGTCATCCGTCCAATCTTATGAGGCAGCCAGCACCGTTCGAGGGGGTAAAAGTGCTTGTTCTTCCTATGTTCCTGCTCCAGTGGTCGGGTGCACACTAGGTGACAGGAGCAGACCTGGGCAGAAAATGACCTACTGTGGGAACGTATCTATACTGGGCGGTGTAAATACTACCTTCCTGACGTTTCTGAAGGGCGGGTGCCCCACCCAGCAAGCAGTCATGGGGAACCACATTATGCAAAAGGGAAGGGGTCTCGGTCCCTCTGACCTGGGAGCTGACGGAAGGCACAGCTGATACGGAGTCTGCCACTGCTGTGCCACCTGGAAACTGTCACGAAACGCACCGTCTCAGTGAGATCAGTATGAGAAAGTCCATTCTAGAACTCTTACCTCTGGAAATCACCCCAGGAGTGAGATCAGCATCACGACCCCCATGAACTGAGTAAACAGCACCAGTGGGGTGAAAAAGGACCACACGTGCCACAGGGCAACGTTGAAGCTGAAAAGCATAACACACACCGGTTGGCAAGTCAGCTGTCATCTACACGCGTGTCCTGAGATCCCGCTTTTTACTCCGTTTGGGAAAGTTCTCTTAGGCAGCAGCTGTGTGCGTCCGTCACGTGTCCCAGGGAGGTGACTGAGCCAGTCCTGGAGACATCACCAAATCTTCAGAAAGCACTTGGGCCCGACCCACGGAGGGTCCTCCCCTGAGAGCTGGCCCACCAGGAACCCAAGTCTCTCAAAGTCAGGGTCTGTGACGGACCATCAGTGACAATGGCTGCAGCCTGAGTCCACCACCCACCTGCTGTCCAACGATCAGAGTAAAGACACAGTTTCAAATAATTCTTTGTTAGAAACAGAATGACACAAGTAATCATGTATAAGTTGCTATTAAATGTTCCATTGAGAAAAAACGCTATTCCTGTCACCAGGGTAAGAAGAGAGGACAGCTTCTCCGTGCAAATGATTTTTACGGACTGAATTCGTAAGACCAGAAGTTAATTAGGGAAAGCTACAGTCAATTAAATAATTACTGGATTTAATACGTAATAGTTCGATAAATGGAACTTTAAACAACGGAACTTTTTAAATCCTACTGTTCTAAAAACAATAAATAATAACCTTTCCAGGGTGATCTTACTCTTATAACGTAAAATAGCAGACCCGTCTACACACATCACTGAAGGGCCGGGAATAACCAGACCACGAGGTGATGCACGTCAATGCCCTCCAGTTTCAACGACAGAAAATTAATCATAAAAAGCATACATTTAAACGGAATAGGCACAAAATATCTGGTTCTTCTAAAATCCAAATTCAACTGACATAGAGAAAGGAAAAAAGCTAGAGGAACATACACAACATTATACAGAATAGTTCTCTCCGGCTGGAAGGATCATGGTGATTTATTTCCTTTGTGTTTTCCTGTAATGAACCAATTTTTCTTCATTGAGCGAGTACACTTCCATACACATTAAAAAAAAAAAAATCAGTGTTTTTTTTTTTTTTTTAATCCACGGCAGAGACCCGACGGGCACGCCGCAGGAAGAAGAGTGAGGCTTCACACACACTCCATAAAGCACCGTCCAAACTACAACCCTTCTCGTGGGGCTCGTTTTCTTTCACAATACAGGAAAGATGGCAGCTTTCTGTCTGTTCTGAAGTTTCGAGCATGACAGTAACAAACAGGTGGCAGACACAACGTTGCGTGTCAACAGCCAAATTTAAGAGAATATGTAACATAAGAATCCATTTCTATGAAGTTAAAAAAAAAATAGACACAACAAAAACAGAACATTTAAGAGATGCGAAAGAAAGCAAGTCCTACATGGGTCGGGTCAGGACCGTGTCCGTCCACAGGCAGGAAGGAAGGTGCCCTGGCGGGGGCGGGGGGTACAGAAAGGGATTACGGGGCTGACACGATTCTCCTTCTTGACCTGGGTGGGGTTTCGCCAGTGCTGAGGCTAACTCATTCAGCGGGACAACTTCAGCTGTTTCCGCTTTCTGTATGTATTACATTTCACAATGAAAACGATTTCATTAATTAATTTATGCATTACATCTGAGTTAGTTAGCATATAGAGCTATAATGATTTCAGGAATGGATGCAGTGATTCACCCCCTATGTATAACCGACAGTGCTCCACCCAGCCAGGGTCCTCCCCCCAACCCCCAACCCCTCCAGCGACTCTCAGTGTGTTCTCTGCATTTAAGAGTCTCGTCGGTTTGGTCCCCCTCCTCGTTGCACAATGAAAACGACTTAAAAAGCAAAATGCAGACTACGTATATGGCAGGTCACTGTGTTTTAAATAGCTAAACACGTAAAGAATGACCCTACTGGAAAGGGACTCTGCGACTAGCAATGACAGCGGGCCATCTTCCCACTTCTTCTTTTAAGTTTCGTACCATGTACAATGGCACCTGATCAAATCACGTTTTACTATTCCCCTTAGTCATTTCCAAGTGAACTCACCAGATGCCGGCCGCGATGAAAGTGGCGGTTGTAATGGGTATCAAGGCTGGGTACCTGGCGTCGTAGTCTTCAATCCCACGGCACCACTCCAGGTAGAGGATGCAGTAGCACGCGATAGAAAGGCTGATGAGCAGCAGGGCACTGCCGGCCAGAAACCAACTGTGGAGACCAAACAGATAACGGTGGCCGGCATGAGTGAGTCGGCACGTGTCTGGAGAAAAGGTTTCACTGACAGACTAAAAAATCACTTTCTATGCAGATCAACTGAGCAAGGGGCCCAGAGGGATCCATGGTCCCCCAACCCCCGCTTTCAGATGGCCTCTATCGGACGGGCGACGGGGTGAGAGAGGAGGAGGCCAGCACGTGCAGCGGGGAGAGAGTGAGGCTCTGAGCAGCCGTGCATTCCCTACACTCCACGGACCAGCTCCCAAAGCACAGATCCGCTCACAGCGATGCGTCTCCTTCCACAAGGCTGGAAACACAGCAGCTTCCTGTCTCTTCCTCAAGTTCTGAGTGTGACAATAAGAAGCGGGTGCCATGAACTCTTCCACGTTAAGAAGGGTTTCCGGGAGCACCGGAAACCAGATTGGAACTGTCTCTCGGAACAGATTCCTTAGTGACACACCCCCTTTTCTAGAATGTCTCTAGTCTTCCTCCAAGGGGCAGAGGCTTTCTCCTCACTTGGAGTTCTACCCAGGAGCTAACTCAGTACATGTGAGGCAGCCTCCTCGGCCCCTGCTGGCTGTGGGAGGAGGCCAGATTTGGGGAACGAAGCCCTTTTCCTGTCTCCCGACATCCCTGTTATCTTTCGCTTCTCCGTAGGGGGAAGATGGCTGTTCTGTGTAGACGAGAGAGGGGTCACGGGGGTCTAGAACAGTCAAAGTCACACAGGCACTGAGCACACTTCCAGCCATGGCCAAGCTTCCAGATTCCTTTAGGGCATTGAATGACACTGCGATTCTGGGATTAGTTATGAGAGGCGGGATAGCTCCGTGGTTGGAGCATGGCCTTCCAAATCTCCGTCCGGGTTGAGTCTCAGCCCCAGCCCGGCTAACCTTACTGAGCGAGTCACTTAGCCGCATGGTGTTCTGGAAATGTTACTAGGACTCCCTCACAGAACAGTTGTGAGTGTCACGGTCTGAACAGTGCTCCTCACACAGTGAGCGCCCGCAGAAGCGTTATTCCGCTGCTGTGATCGATGAAAGAACACTTCTGTGTCCCTCTGGACACGGGGTCTTCAAAGGCCTCTCCTCTGCTCCTGCGTGCATTCTCAACTGGGGCAGTACCGGCTCCGAAGTGAAGAAACCATCTTCCGCTTTCTGTATGCACAAAGCACAGATGCTCACGCAGGACGTCGGGGGGCAAGTAGGAAGGACAGATGTCATGGAGGCTCCTCAGGAGGCGGTAACGAAGGTTGAGGGACACTGTTCCAGAGTTATGGTAACCTCCTTGCTTGGTCAGGATCCTTCTGTCTCAGTTTTTAACTTCCCCTGGAATCCCGGTGCGGCTACTGTATCCAGATTGGGCGGAGGATAGAAAACAGCTGAAAAACCCTCCTGAACCAAAATGCGCCTGGACATCAGCGCCCCTCCGCCTGGCATCGGAGTCCCTCTGCCACGTTCCCCAGGGAGGCTATCTGCCCCCCCCCCCCCCCCCCCCCCCCCCCCCCCCCAGTTTCCCAAATTCTGACTCGGGGTGGATATGAGGAAGACCCCAGGCCTCTGGGCTTGTCATTTCCATTGTAGTTTTAACCAGCTCCTCGGCTCACACACACGACCAGGATTTTCTTAAAAATTATGATTTCCAGGGCTGCCTGGGTGGCTCCGTCGGTTAGGAGTCCAACTTCCATTCAGGTCATGATCTCGCGGTTCATGGGTTCGAGTCCTGCATGGGGCTCTGTGCTGACAGCTCAGAGCCTGGAGCCTGCTTCTGATTCTGTGTCTCCCCTTCTCTCTCTGTCCCTTCCCCACTCACACTCTGTCTCTTTCTCTCTCTCTCTCAAAATAAATATTTTAAAAAAATTGTTTTTAATTGTGATTTCCAATGCATCGTCATGTTTCGCTTTGACGTTGACCTGTCTCTCCTGTACTTGAACACCGTCTTACAGCCCTGAATAGATCTGAAGAACCCTAATGCCTCAAGCTTCTGAACTTGGGAGCTAACAGCAGGGCAGGAAATGAGAAATTAACTTCAGGTGGATTTGCAAGGAAGCAGAGGGCAGCCGCACCCCTTCTTGGGTACGGCCCTCATCCGACGGCTGCTCAGACTCCCCCCTGCTTTCCGAGGCCCTCGACAAGAATACAGTGCCACTCAAAATCCTCAGCCTTTGGGCATCCGTTTAGGTCTTTTTTCCCTAAGGTGACATGTTTCTGAGGCCAGACTGGTGACTTCTACTTCCTTCTCCGGCCCCACAGCCCGGCTCTGCTACAGGACAGCATGTGCTCCTGGCGCCCCACTAACTACCTCAGGTGCCCCCGACACCTCAGAGGCGTAACCGATTGTCCCTTACGGCAGCATTTCCTTCAGTTAGTGAGAATACTCGAAATAGGGAGACAAAGATGGAAATCCTCCTCTGTCTCCTAAGACCTCCAAAAGGCCTACCTCCCGAGGCCGGGCTGAACGAGGTGCCCCTTCTAGGTGCTCCATAGCACCCTGGGCATACACTACAGGGCACCGCGGGCCCTACTCACCCATCTTGGCCTGAAAGGGGCTACTGGGGGGCTAGGAGAGTGCCTTCTTCATCACAGTCACCGCGGCCAAACACACCTCGGGCTCTCGTGCCGTATCTGAATAACGGAGAGGCCTCCGCTCCCGGCACAGTGTGCAGGGTAACTATTCCCTCTGTTCCCGGCCCGAGCTCTAAACCAACTGAGAGACACACCGGACTTAGGCTGACGAGGTCAACGGTCAGCTCTTTTCCTGACAGGGCTGTAGGAAGATGGTGCCCAGACGGACCCGCCAGGTTCCAAGTCAGTATGAAAACCTAGAGGCCCTCTCATGTCAGGGCTGTGCCCCAGAAGTGATGGCAGAGAAAAGCAGACCAGAATCTGGGCTTCCCACAGACAGCTGGCTCCCAAGAGAAAGGTGCTTTCAGCACGTGGCTGGTTCTTCAGCCCAAACTCAGCAGGGAAGGGGCGAGAAGGGTAAAGGGCAGGGAGACGGGAGTGTCTGAGGAAAGCTCTAGCTCGTGGGAATAAGGCAAGAGAGGAATAAGCTCTTATGGGACGATTTAAATAAGTCCCGATACCTCCCGGCTCTCCGCAGTCAGCGTCCTGAAGGCCTCTGAGAAGAAACCGCGTGTCACCCCCATGGGAACACAGGATCAAACAGTCCTACCTGTACCTTCTAGCCCTGCTGGTCCCTGAGCTCGCGTCCAGTGCAAGTCACCGCTCCCAGTGCCGGCTCTGAAGCTCTCCAACGTCTCCCCCTCTTGGCTCTGCTATGCAGGGGGCTCTGGAACACTCTTCAGTATTCAGGTTGGGACTCAGGTATGATTCAAAACCTTGTCCCTCTGCCCCCCCTCCATCAACTCCTGATATACTGGAGATCTCAGTCCTCGTGAATGATGGACGATTTGACATCAAGTCTCAAAGCTCCCAACTCCTCCTTCAAATGGCATCAACTCTAATTCAACCACTCCCTGTAGTTACCTTGTTAGGTGGAACTACGCTCTGCCAACAATCTCTGAGACCCGGTTCTCACCCACCGGGGTCCTCACTCTCCTTTCCCGGTGCTCCTGAACTTTATCTTCAGAGGGACCGTCAGTAAGAACCTTTCTTCTTCCATGTTTTACAAACGGATCAGGTTCTTGTTAAATTCACTGCCTGCTCCGTCCTACAACACACCTGTGCTGAAAGGCATACTGAAATACGTTCCAGGCTCATGCGCTCTGCTGTGCGTGTCCAAAGCACACACTCTCCTGGCCACCAGTGACCTTTGTGTCACTCTGTGTCACTAGTACCTCCAACACCGGCGCCTGGCAGGAAGTAAGAGATTTCTAGGCATTTGAAGAATTCAACTCACAAAACAGACCATCATACATAAGACAAAGGTGCTTAATCACGAAGCAATGAAATTTTCTCACCTACTAGTGTGGAAGTTTTCCTTAACGGTTTTAAAGAAGTCAACATAGTAGGTCACAATAATGGAGGCCAGAATCCAGAATCCAGAATGGATATTAAGTCTTGGAAGAGGTTTCTCCTTTCTCTCAACCGCAGTTGAAACTTCTGCAAATAAGGAAGATTTCAACTTATCAGGTTACCATAAATTTATGAGGAAAAAGAACACCTATTTTAAGCCAGATAAAATAATTTCCTAGAGCTTTCCCAAAACCAGATTCTCTCCAATAAGAGTACCAAGTTCTTCTGTACAACCACCAAAACAGGTTTGTATTTGCATAATTAATAGGAACCTGCTACAAGACAGATTTAGTAGAGTCAACTTTTTCCCTCTAATCGAATTTAAAATCAAATTTACAATATTACCGTCTTTTGGAAAGACGTTACACCATCTGGTAGTATCAGAATTTTAGTATTATGTGTCATATACTGCCTAGGATTTTAGTATTACATTTCATACATTGCCTGGAATTTTAGTATTGTGTTTCATATATTGCCAAGGAAAGCAATTAGTCTTGTTACTTAAGAAAAACGGAGAGGCAGCAGACATTAGAGCACAAAATGGGACTTGTAATTTCCCCAAACACTTTTAACTACGTATTTTAATTGTTTCAAACAAACACAACCTTTTGAGGCAACGCAGGGCACACGGGAGGTCTAGTCCTGGCATAGCACTGTCTAGACAGGCGATGGACAAATCAAATTTCTTCCATTTGAGACCCAATCTGAAAGAATAGGTGGCTGGGGTTGGGTGTGATGAGTTATTTCTAACAAGTTCCCCAGCTGAGTGACATGCCCCCTCTTAATTCTTGTGAGAACCACTGGTATCCATCTGAGATCCCAGAGCTTTAGCAAACCATCAGAATTCCCAGGAGCCTTGCTCACAATACAAATTCTGGGAAATAGCCTCAGAATTTGCAAATAAGAATGCCTGGGCATGATGCGTTCTCGGTTTATTTTTTTAAAGGGTAATAAATGCACGATTTACAACATACAGGACAGAAAAACCTAAAATGAAACCGCTTCCTCCTACCCTCAACCCTAATTTGTCAACCCCAAAGCAACTACCAATATCAACTTCTATGGAACTCTTTCACAGTCTATGCATTTACAGGTGAACACACATGACACGTTCGGTTTGTGCCCAAATGGTGGTATAGCATACTTCGCTCTGCGCCTCCCTTTGAAAACCATCCACATGGGAAGAGAACATTCTGCCTGCCTGTCATGCAGGAGTACATCCAAATGTATTTAACTGGCTCTCTGCTGATGGGCAATTAGATATTTTCACTTTGCACAGACGTCCTCGCGTACTGGTACGAGTATGATTCTTTGGTAGATTCTTAGAAATACAACCGGATGGTATTTTTTTTTTTAATGGAGAAAAAGAAACAGGTGTTAAAACCAGCTCTCCTGGGAATCCTGGCGCGCAGCTGGCAGGTAGCTGCGCGGGGCTACGCGATCACTAGCAACCTCTTAGGACGCTAAATACCCGACTTGCAAAACTACTTGGCAAGCCTTGAAAACCCGAACCCTGGTCCCGCCTGCCAGCGCAGGGCTGCGGGAGGCCCGCGGGGCCGGCCGTTTCCGGGCGCCTCGACTCCGGACACCTCAGCGCAGCTCGGGGCGCGCCCGGGGGGAGCGCCTCACCCGGCCCGGCGTGGCCCTCGCTGTCCGGCGGGGCCTCGGTGTCCCGCGGGAACAGGTATCGCCGCCGGAGCTGCTCCCGAGCCCGCGAAGCGTCCATCTTGGCAACGCCCAGCAGCGCGACGGAAGTGACGTCACGAGCGGAACTTCCGCCATCGGCTCCCCGGCAGAGGCGATCGCTGCTGTGAAGGATGGAGATTATGCAGTCTTCGAGCTTTTAGTGGGTGAGACTCTAGGGTGGGGCTCAGTCTCAGTGCTCAAGTACGCAAACGTGATTTGAAGTTGAGAATAGTGATCCTGCGCCCGGCCGGAGGTTTCCCCCGCGGATTCCGACCTACGGAAGCCCGGGAGGACCAAGCTTATTAATGCCGCCGAATGCGTGCGGGGCAGGGATGCGCGGCTGTGCGGCGCCGCCTGGTTCCTTTTGATCTCTGCGGATGGAGCCTCCCCTGGCCCCCCGTGCCCAAAACGCCTTAGGCTCCGGCTTCTTCCCTGCTCCTCCTCTTCAGGAGTCAGCCAGCTAGACCTGAAAGGGTCCAAGGCAGCCCCGGGAGGACCCTGTGCCTGCTGCCGAGCCTCGGGCCTGGCCCCTTCCGCTGGGATGGGCTTGGGCAAGAGGTAAACCTCTCGGGGCCTGTATCCTCTTTGGCACCGCGGGGGTTACACCCTGCCTATCCCTGGATCTGTTGTGGGGGTTAAGTGGGAAGCCCCCGTGTGTGGTTCATGGTAACCCCCGTCTCCTGACTCTCGAGAAATATAGCCTGCCAGGAACATGGGAGCCATGTTTGTTCTTGCCCAGAAAACTGCGGTTTCCCGTCACTCTCTCTTTCGCTCATTGACCGAACAAGACTGGGTACCCAATTCACAATTCTTCTCCGTCAGTAGTCCCGTGAATTACCTTCCTCCCCCTGCCCTGTGTGTCGTGTGTTGAGAAATTTTGCTTTCAATCACTGAAACGTTTACTGGGCATCTATTATTCGCTGCAGACTGTTGGGCACCACGCTCCACAGTGAAGATAATGGTAAATAAGACATGACGTTGCACTCGAGGAGCCTCTGGACCAAAGATGACCACGGAGACCTACTACCGTGTAGTTTAGGGCTTATAAAGGTACAGAAGAGTTTCGTTAATTCGGTCAACATTTCCCAAGCAGCTGTATCTGCTAAACGGCTGAGGACAGAGGGGAGTTAGAATCTCGGGGAGGAGACGATTTCAGTACGAGGCCATAATAGAAATACTGTTTTTGGGGTTATGGGAGCACCAAATAAAGGCGGTGTGCTCTGCTTGGGGTGTGTGGGGAGCAGGCAGAGTGGCTCCAGGTGCGTTGAATACAGGGGTGGATGGCCCAGTAAGCCAGGGAAGTCAGTTTGAATTAGTAGGAACTCTGGTATCTTCTACATGTTGTGTTTGCAGAAGAGATGTAATAAATATTCAGGGTAAGAATGTCAAGTGTCTGCCTGACATTTATTCAGCCTTTCTAGCAACCCCTAGGAGCAAAGGATTTAACAGCTGGGCAGATCACATAGCCTGTCTACACAATACCTCCTTTTTGTTTGGTTCTGTTTTTCTTTTCAGACTCCTCAAGAACCAGATTTCATCAATTCAAAGCCAACTGGGGTCTTTGGCCTCCCCTCTTCTCTCTCTGAAGCGGGATTAAAAGACTTGTGAACAGGAAGTGAATTTCTGGTATCACATACAGTCTTCTGTTGATTGTCTCCTTGCAGAAAGGTCAGGGCTGGGTCTCCCTTGTAACTGAATATTCCCCAGAGCATCACTGCTATTCCAGGGTTTCCATATGTAGTATGTTCAGGTCAGATCTGGTTTCCCCTTTGATGGGTTCAGGGCCTTTGTATTTGGATCTGAAATCCTTTGAGCCTTCTTTCTCTGAGATTTTTAACGGCATTACTGCACACCATATTGATGATACTTAAAAGCAGGTTGGAAAAGGTCCAATATTTAATGACCACATCTTCATTGCTGGGACCAATTAAATAAGTTCCTAAATGTGTGTTCTGTGGACCCGAATAATAGATAACCGATATCAGATTGCTACCAACCAAGGGATTTCATTTTCAGTTTCAATTACTTATGGGGGAAAAATGAAATTGACTGTGACCCTTCCTGGCTCTCCTTAGCAACATGGTTACATCCAGGGTGTTCATGGACTATTGAATCCTGGTTCCGTCATGATGGGTCCTTCGGCAAGTTCTTTTATTGTTCGAAGTATCCGCTTCCTCATCTGTGACACAATAGGTATCAGAGTGGAGACATATGTGTACTGATTGCTTAGCCTGGTGCCTGGCATGCAGTGTGCATTCAAGCAGGTCGTTACTTACACTGCTACGAACTTGTGCTTCCCAGACGTTCCAGATCCTGCTTACTTCCTGATCCGTTCGTTATCCCCTCCTCCTGGGGCTCCAGAAAGGATTCTGGTTGCAATTTTCCTTTTGTTTGCGCTCTCCTGCCGGATGGTGGGAAACAACCATGTTTTGGCGGCTTCCCTGGTGCCTTGCAAACACCTGGCAGGTAGCAGGAGTTCCGTTATGCAGTTTCCGCCTTGAGCCTTGATCGCGGTTAACTGGCCTTCACTGTAGATGCACGTCCCTTCCTCTGAGAAGCCACTTTCTCTCCATTCTGTAGTAGTCTCTGTGGTTGTCCTGCCCTCGCGGAGGACACAGGGTCCAAGCCAGACCCATCAGTCCCTGGGACTTAGGCTGGGGCTGCTGGGATGGCAAGCTGTGAGGCCAGTGCGGTGTTCAGGCCTGCCACCATGGAGACCCGTGGAGGAAGTAGGCCTAGGAAGGAAGCTCTGAGATGTAAGCCGAGCCAAGGGGTAGCACTGTTGGTAGCTTTGTTCCAAGTCCACACTCCAGCCAAGCCCTGGTTAACCTAGTTAAGAACACAAGCACTGGGGGTGTCTGGGTGGATCAGTCGATTAAGCATCTGACTCTTGATTTTGGCTCAGGTCATGATCTTGTGGTTCATGGGATGGAGCCCTGTGTTGGGCTCTGCACTGACAGCACAGAGCCTACTTGGGAGCCTCTCTCTCTCTCTCTCTCTCTCTCTCTCTCTCTCCCCCCCTCCATCTCTCTCCCTCCCTCTCTGACCCCTCTTCCCTCCTCCCTGCCTGCTCTCTTTCTCTCTCGAAATAAATATTTAAAGAAACGGACATGAGCTCTGGAGCCTGCTGCCTGGCTGCCTGGCATTTCTGATTTTGCATTACTGGCTGCCTCAGCCTTGGGCAAGCCACTTCTCTCTCTGCCTTAGTTTCCTCTCTTGCAAAAGTGAGTTAAGAATGGGTTAAGAATAGTATCTACCTCATAGGATTGGGTAAAGAGCAAAGTGTTAATAACATGCAATGTGCTTAGAATACTGTCTGGCCCAGAGAAAGCTCTCGGTAAGTCCTACCTGTTGTTATTAATCCACTGCTGAGACAGCCCAGATTTCTGAGCCAAGAAAACCAAAACTCTGTTTTTCTTTTTTAAGTTTACTTATTTTTGAGAGACAGAGCATGAGCGGCAGAGGGGCAGAGAGGGAGGGAGACGCAGAAACCGAAGCAGGCTCCAGGCTCTGAGCTGTCAGCACGGAGCCTGACGTGGGGCTCAAACCCACAAACTGTGAGATCATGACCTGAGCTGAAGTCAGACACTCAACTGACTGAGCCACCCAGGCGCCCGCGAAACTCATTTTTAGAGAAACGGATGCCATTTAAGGAGTTTTGTGTTACAGGCAACCCTGACAGCAGACCAGAGCAGCTCTGTTCTCCCATCAGGCCACGGGGCTGCTCCACGAGGCCTAGTAGGTGGTGAGCATGTCCAGGAGTGAGCCGATGCTGGCAGAGCTCTGAGAGACGCGCCTGGCCTCTGGGAAGTGCTCAGCAAGTGTTAATATGTGTCCCTGGGGACACTGCCTTTCATTCCAAAAAGAAAAGCAGTAAAAAACAACCTTTTAATTATGTAAATAACACATGACTTCCTGCACGCCTCTGTTTCCCCGATTAAAGCTATAGAATTAGAATCGTTATATAAAAAGAAATGGACATTTTAAAGGCTTTTGATCAGTATTTCTGAAGGCAATTCCAGAATGGGCAGACGACAGCCCTCTCCCCTCCCACCAGCAGTGGGCAGGAGAAACTAGTCTTCAGGGTTTGCACCAACAACTGGCTTTATCATTGTGATAAAATTTTCCTGAGTGATAACAGGAGGGGGCTGTTTCTGCCATTTTAATTTGTCTTTCTTTTTTTTATTAAGTCTATTTATTTTGAGTGAGAGAGACATAGGGAGGGCATGAGCAGGAGAGGGGGAGAGAGAGGGGGAGAGAGAGAAGCCCAAGCAGGCTCGGTGCTGTGAGCACAGAGCCCAACACGGGGCCCGAACCCACGAACTGTGAGATCGTGACCTGAGCTGAAACCAAGAGTCGGATGCTTAACCACCTGGGCCACTCAGGCACCCCAATTTTATTTTCTTTATTAGCAGGATTTTTTGACATATTGTCTATTTGTACAGAGTTTTCCTCTGGAGATTTTCATTCTTGGCTTATTTTTAGGGGGTCAGAGATGCCTCTGAATACCTGACCTGTGGCCCTGATACCTTTTTCACTTTTCTGTTTACCTTTCAAGCTTGATCACGTTCATACCCATGTTTTGTTTTGTTTTGTGTTTCTTCCCTTTTCATAGCTTGTGGTGCAGGGAGAGCTGGTGCGAGCCTGCCAGGTGGGGCACATGTCGAGACTCCTGGCGGGCGGGAAGGGCTTCGCCAACGCTACCGTATACATTTAGAGGACGCACACGCCACGCAGTAGCTCTCACTTGAACCGTCTTCAGATGGACCTAGTTATCCCGTGCCTGTTGGTTACACCACCAGCTACATCCAGGAGAGGTTTCTTTTTTTTTTTTTTTTTTAAATGTTTTATTTTATTTGTAGGAGAGAGAGAGAGAGACAGCGTGAGCAGGGGAGGGTCAGAGAGAGAGGGAGTCACAGACTGAAACAGGCTCCAGGCTCTGAGCTGGCAGTCAGCACAGAGCCTGACGCGGGGCTCGAAGCCACAAACCGCGAGATCATGACCCGAGCGAAAGTCGGACGCTCAACCGACTAAGCCACCCGGGCGCCCCAGGGAGAGGTTTCTTAGTTAACCGCCGCTAAAGCCAACTCTAACCAGCCCGAGCAAAATACTGCCACTAATGATGACCGCGACAGTAACCGTTATAATCATAAAATACATGTGCATGTGCAGGTTGTTAAAAAAAAAATTAAAAAAAAAAGAATCTTCTCGCCGTGCCCCTGAAGGAGTCCACAGGGACGCAGGCAGGACCCAGCCGTGAGGTCACTGTGTGTCCGTCGCAGATGGTGATGTCCCTGCCGTCATCGCCGGTTCAGGGCACGCCAGCTTCCTTCTGCTGGTTCTCCCCAGCTCCTATGTCACTTTTGGGGTTTCCTCTGGTCGCGTTCTTCTTAAGCAGCGAGACGTGGAATTCTCACAGAAGGGGGATCGGGGGGAGTCCCATAGAGCTGTGCTGATCCAGCAGGACAGCCCCCGGGGAACCTCTAAGGACGGGCAGCGTGCTGCATTCTGGGGCCGGGCGTTGGGTCCCTTGTGCTGCCAGCGAGTCAGGGACCCCCTCTAACAACAGATCGGGACAGGGTAAAGGACCGTTCCTCGAGCTAGAATGAAGGGGTGGGGTGGGGGGGTGCTGACCTAGAGCGGGAGACCAGGGAGGCAGGAATCCTCTGAAAGTGTCCCCATGCACTCCTGACATTTCCGGCTCTGTGGCAGGTTGGGGGCAATGTTTGGGTCCATTGTTCTACGGAAGGAAAATCTCTCTCATATTAATTGCTCACATTTATATGGAGACCCATGGGTTTCCTGCATGGCTCAGTCAGTTAAGCATCCGACTTCAGCTCAGGTCATGATCTCATGGTTCGTGGGTTCGAGCCCCGTGTCGGGCTCTGTGCTGACATCCAGCTCAGAGCCTGGAACCTGCTTCAGATTCTGTGTCTCGCTCTCTCTCTGTCCCTCCCCTGCTCCTGTTCTGTCTCTGTCTGTCTCTCTCTTTCTCAAAAGTAAATAAACATTACATTTGTTTTTTAAATTGAGACCCACTATCAGGCATGCCCTGACCACCCTCCCAGATGCTCAGGGCCCTCCAGGCTGTTAATGCCAGTCTTGTTGACATGATCCGAATCACGGAGTGCCTAGCATTTGGCCTGTTAATGGTGTGCATGTGATCAAATAAAACAGACTCACTTTTTTTTTCTTTTAAGGAAAGCCCATATATATTTTTATTTGTTTTATTTATTTTTGAGAGAGAGGGCGCAAGTGGGGACAAGGGTGGGGGGGGGGACAGAGGATCTGAAGTGGGATCCACACTGACAGCAGTGAGCCTGATGTGGGGCTTGAACTCACGAACTGTGAGATCACGACTGGAGCCAAAGGTGGGCGCTCAACTGACTGAGCCACCCAGGCATGCCCCCCCCATATTTTTAATACAATATTTTATCTCATATTATCATGCATTTCCACTAAGTAAAGAAACTCAGAAGCCCCATTTTAGCCATTTCTTGAAAGCTGAGTTAGAAGAAGGGACACAGGATAAATATACTCAGAAATCCAGTATCCACGAAGTACATAAATTGCATAAAACCATGATAAAGGGCTTTCTGGTCACACGATCCATTGTGAAAACCACTTTGAAATCCTTGGGCTGGACATTTTTTTTAAAAAGCTTTACATGGAGGGGCACTTGGATACCTCAGTTAAGCGTCCAAATTCGCCTCAGGTTCGTGGGTTCGAGCCCCACATTGGGCTCTGTGCTGACAGCTCAGAGCCTGGAGCCTGCTTCAGATCCTGTGACTCCCTCTCTCTCTGCCCCTCCCCCGCTCACGTTCTGTCTCTCTCAAAAACGTTAAAAATAAAATAAAAAAAAGCTTTACACGGAATACCTTTATAACGATGATCTAAATCATCGGCGCTAAGAAAAGGCAGGCGGAAACAAGGAGGGGGAGGGGTCCTGACCAAAGGAAAAGCTTTGACCAGGAGAGAAAAACTAAGTTCTCAAGGCGACACCAGAGTTCAGATCCTGATTCTGCTATTTGCTATGTGACCTGGGGCAAGCCCCTTAAGCTCTCTGCGTCTCCTCATCCATGAAATGGGTGCAGTAGGTCTATTGAAAGATCTGTGAGGTGGTGGATATAAAGGGCTTAGCGCCCTGCTCGATAGAGAGGGAGCCTCCGTAAGAGGGAACCGCTGTTATCGGGGAAGGGCCATCTACGCATCGGGAAAAGGCAGCCCGGGAGTGGTACGCGGTCAGTACCAGTGGGGCAGCAGTAGGTAGGAGCAGGGCAGCCTTGAAGGGGTAAGCCCGGTGGCCTTCCCGTAGGAAGGGGTCAGGCTGTGGAGCAGCACATAGCTGACCGTGGTCAGCACCTTATGTGGAGTGACTGTTTCATCCACACAGTGACCACGTGAGGCAGTCACTAGTGTGATTCCATTTTATACATGAGGAAACAGAGGCACACAGCCTTTCTATCACGGGACCTGAGGAGGGTTTAATTTCGTCCCTGGATGTAAGGATTACACTGTGCACTTGGTAGTGTCAGTGGCATTGCTGAGTAAGTACCCAATTTGTCAGGGTTGAAAGGCCCCCTCAGCGCTCAGGGTCTCACAGCTTCTGCGGTGGAGCGTGGACTTGAACCCAGGCAGGTTTGGCCTCAGAGGCTGAGCTGCCCTGCTGGCAGTCTCTGAGGACTCGGTGTCTCAGGACACGAGCTACAGAAAAGTCAGTGCCCGGGGCTCATTCCTGCCAGATGCCAGCTCCAGGGAGGGAGGACATGTGACCCGCCTGTCCCCCGCCCTCCCCTCACCCCTGGCAGGCATTGCTGATCAACGCAGCATTTCATACCCTCCCTGGGGGCCAGGGGAGGGCCTCCAGACCCTGCACAACCCCAGCAAATTGCACCCAATTGGCCTGAGTTAGCAGGTCAGATAAAATCCAGTTGCTGTACAGAGCGTGGAGTCTTTTTTTTTTTTTTAATGTTTTTATTTATTTCTAGGAGAGAGAGAGACAGCGTGAGCAGGGGAGGGTCAGAGAGAGAGGGAGACACAGACTCTGAAACAGGCTCCAGGCTCTGAGCTGGCAGTCAGCACAGAGCCCGACGCGGGGCTCGAACCCACAAACCGCGAGATCATGACCTAAGCGAAAGTCGGACGCTTAACCGACTAAGCCACCCAGGCACCCCCGGAGCGCGGAGTTTTAAGGCATGCCAGACGATGGCGCAGAAACGCCAGCCCGGGGTGCTTCTGTGCCCAACGGAATCCACCTGTTGTTCCTTAAGAGACTCAACACACAGCCCGGGGGTCCTCAAAGTCCCAAGAGCACATTTTGCACAGGGAGATCCCCCTGCCAACCTCAGGGCAGCGCGGCCATGCAGGGCGGTGCTGGAGGGTGAAGCCTCCCCCGCAGAGGGTCAGTTGGACTCTGTCCCTCCTTGGGCATCACCCCCAACCCCACGGCCACAGCCCCTGAGAAATCCTCGCGTTAAACAGAACAAGAGAGGAGGGAACTCCAGCCTTTCGAGATTGGCGGTGGAGAGCAGGGCCACCGTTTACGAGGCCACGTCGTGAGTCATGGCCCCAGGGCTCTGAAGAGGCTGGAAGGAGACCTGGGCTCAGGGACCCACACAGCCGGGCACCGAGGGCCCTGGAGATGGGTGCCCGCTGTCATGACAGAGTCTCAGCCTCCCTCCAGTGTAACTCCACTCTTCAGCTGTTGAATACGACCAGAGACTTCTCTCAGGGCGTGGGATGCCAGGTGCTTTTATGAAATATCATGAAACGTGGATAAATTAAGTGGAAAACAGCCAGGTGCCGTGGAAGTTGACGCCCACTCTCCTGGCATCTAGAATCGCGTTCATGGTGACAAATGCCAAGAGGCTTAAGGTGTTTTAGGTGGGGACACCTTAATATTGAAAATGTTTTCTTGCCCTTCCCCCCCCCCCCCCCCCCCCGGAACCTAGAAGAGGGATCGCCATTTCAATTTTAGCTGTAAAATAGCTCTCTGTTCAGGATAAAACTGGTCAAAACCGGGCCACCCTGGAACGTTACCGTTAGCATCCCGACCCAAACTTGACCCCAGAGCAGTGCTGCTGGAACTACCCAGGGGAGCGGAGGCTTCACCCACCTTTGACCTAGAGCGGGGAAGTGGAACATACGGGCCACTGTGAGCCTGCCGCCCACGTCGGCCCAAGGTCACCAGGCAGGCAGAGCGGCACAGGCTGTGTTCCAGCAGCTCACAAAGGCCGCTCTGTGGCCAAACAAAGGCCTGACCTTCCGAGCCATGTCTGACTTTTCAACTCTGACACATGTATTTACTCAGCAATTACAGCTTAAACTACCAGAGGGGGCAGTCCAGCCACTTATATCAAAGGGAACAAATGAAAGCCTTCCTGGATCCTGGAACAAAAAAGCCAGGCTGGTCACTGCACTCAAAACAAAGAACTTCTCTTTCCACCGGTGGAGACAACTGCTTTGTACCCAAGATGGAGAGTTAGAAGGGAGGTCTGACCCCAAGTTACAGAAGTTGGAAAATCGAGTCGGTGAGCTGAGCAAGGTCTTGGGTTTCCGTACATGCTAACAGGGCGGTGGCAGATTCCAGAAGAGGCAGAAATTGCTGTCCTGATATAACATCACTCAAGCCCAGTCTGCTGTGAGGACTTGGAGATGCCGTTCTCGACAGCTTGATAATCTAGTGGCGACCCCCAGCGGCTTAACGTGACAGCACGGAATGACAGCCATGTGGAGAAGAGAGACACAGAGATGGAGGTTTGCGAAGTGCCAAACCTCAGTGCACTTGGGCAAAGCAAACCCACATTCCCAGGGGTGGCTGGAGAGAGTGGGAAAAGTGCTCTGGAAAACCGCTGGGCTGCATGTCGTCAAGGTGACGCGCACGCAAGGACTCTGTGACTCCAGCAGAGAGGAGGAAGGACTGTGTCTGCACCCGGAGCCTTAGAGGGATCGCCGATTTCGTTAGGGGACAGCAGAGCGTGGCATCGGCAGAAGACAGCGGAAGCTCCTGCTACACGGCAGCGTGGGGGGCTCACAGAGTGTTGAAGAAGGAAGCCAGACACAAAAGGGCACATGCCGCCGTAGGATTCCTTTTACATAAAGTTCAAAACCAGGCCTGGTGGATCCATGCTTTCAGGAGGAAGGGTGTGGTTCTCCTTGGGCTGAATAGTCCTGTTTCTTGGACTTGGGCAGTCAGGGCCCCAGCGTGTGCACTTTGTGAAGTTCATTGAGATTTAGATTTTTATACCCTTCCCTACGTGTGCGGTATCTTAACCCCACTCTGTCTATGGCGGGTGGGGGGGGGGGGGTAGGTCAGTGCAGCAGATGAAACCCCCGAGATCCAGAGGCTAAATAACCCGCCGGAGGCAAAGTCGGATTCAGCGCAAGGTTGGACTCCGACACACGGAGCCTGATCACAGCTATCTTCTCGCACTGCCTCCCCCTGCAGGTAGGGGTGGAGCCTGCAGGGGACAGCAGGGGCAGTAGCAGGAAGCAGAGAAAGATGACCTAATACAGCAAGTAGGTAAGAAGCGCCGCTGCAGAAGGGACCCGGGGGGCTCCCTACCCCAGCCCCACACCCAGTGGACCAGGGCAACCAGTATGCCCCGGTGACATGCCACTGGGCTTGCTGTTCGTCTCCCTGTCCCGAAAGACAGCGTAGAGCTGGCCCAGGGTGGGCACTCTGGAATTAGCTCCTTAGTCCCTGTGACCTCCATGGCTTCCGTGACAAGAGGGCTTTGGTGCAGAATTGTGGGCACCGGGGGAGGGTTCAGGTCCACACGCTTGTGAGGGAAAGCAAGTGTCCGTCACGCAAGGCCACTGCTCCCAACTAAAGCTCTTTACGTGTGAAGTCCCACCCCAGGGTGGTCAGACGTCCTCCGCTGGCGCCGAGAGCGGCATGCAGGTACGCTCTCTTACCTACCAAGTGAGAAATAGAACGCACCCTCTTTGGCTCACTGCGCAGAAAAGAATCTTGGAAGACCTCTTTTAGCCATTTCTCGAAAAGCTTACTGGGAAGAAAGGGTAAAAGGCGGAATCCATGCTGAGCTCCAGCCACCACAGAGTACAGGAAAGTAGACAGAATATGTCTTTGCTCTTATCTGGGATAAGAGTCTAGAAACTGAGGTCGTTTCCTTCCACGAGGGAGGATGTTACAATCGAAGAGCGCTGGGTGACCCGGTTCTGCATCCAGGTGTCAGTCAACAATGTGCAGTTACCTACTTTGTGTGGGAGTCCAGCTTCACCTCCGTTTTCGGTGGGGGAGCGAAGAAGGAAGGTGCACTCTCCATAGCTTTCTCTAACGGAAACGAATTGGATAAAACCTCCGATCTCTGAAATCTTCCCTCATTCAACTACAAAAAGTGCTATCTAAAAACAAACACTCTGTATCAAAGACTCCCTCCACCTCCGCCACCAATTCCTAGAAATCTGGTTTGGAGAAAGAGAGGTAATTACAGGCTAGTGAGGTTCTCCAAGTAAATTGTTTTAATAGGACTTGGGAAGCTCAAATTTTAACTTTGAAAGAGAGATACGTTTAGAGAGAGAGCATCTCAAAGATATTCATGAAAGTCTGCAGGCCCATAAAGGTGCTGTTAACCTTGGCTTCTATCACCGTATTCTCATGAGCATCCTGTGGGGCGGGTTTAAACAGAGAACTAGGAATGGGGTCCTTGGAAGCCTTTCTTCAGAGGGGTCACCGTACTGCACCAGGGCCGCAAGCCCCCTGTGCTCACCTGAAGCAAAGCCAGTGTGGAGAAACTGGGACGATTTTGCTATTTTTAAACATTCTCCGCCTGGATGCCCCTCTGCTACCGGTGGCTGCGTTCTTTGGCTTCTGCATCAGTCCACGTCTAGCTGGGCTGACTGGCCGGTGCCAAGGGAGGGGCGGCCTTGGCCTTCCTCCCTGTGCTGAGCTCTGTTTCCTCATCTGACTGCAAGATGCCTAGTGTGCCTGACATTAAGGAGGGCCCAGCCTGGGACAGTCACCCATCTTAGAAGATGTACCCATCTTCTCCCAAATCCTGCTGCTAAGCGGCATCATGGAAAACGGCTTTGCACACAGCTGACAGATGTCAGGCGTGTCAGCAAGGAAGGGTTCAGATTCGAAAACCATGGTGTGCCAGAACACATCCCTGGCAGGTTTAGCGATGCCTGAGGGCCAGGCCCAGCAGACTAGTGTGGATACAGGCAGAATATGGTAGGATTCCATCTTAACACTCGACTTGGACACAATGAAGTGGGAAAGCCGGACACAAATAGCATTAGATCCGTTTCTGAAGTCCCTGGGGCTCCAGTACTGTGTGAGTCCAAGTCAGGCAGGCAGCTGCCCAAACCACAGGGTGGTCGCTGTGCAGGGGCCTTGGGGGGGGGGGGGGTCTGTTGACTGTGCTTATAGCCAGACCTGTAGCCAGACCCTTCCCACCACCAGCTGCACGGTCTGCGATATAGACCTGTCTCCATGACGCTGACTATCAGAATCAGAATAGCTGATTCTTCACCCTTGTAGAGCTGGAGGGAACGGAGAGGTCACCTCCCCAGCCCCGGTGCACGGGCACTGCGCTAGCCTTCCTGAGCAGCCAGCCCCATTTCTGCCCTGTGCGGCCAGCAAGTTCCAGCCAGAGAACCCTGGGAACAGCTGACAAACAGAAATGACTCTCCCGTGGCGGAGGTGTTAGTTAATTTTGTCACATCTGTCCCTTTGCCTTAACCGCCTCCTGGTAAAAATGACAGAAAATAAACATCAGCACTGACCTTGAAATACTGTGGAGTTTACACTTCAACGTGGGACTCTGGGGAGTAGGTTTGCGCCCCCAAGCGCATGCGCGGGGAGGGCAGGAGCAGAGAGGGTCCTGGACAGCACTCAGGAGTCAGGGCTGGGCTCTCTGTCCCTGAGGATGTGGTGTGGGTCCGGCCTCGCCCTCCCACGTTCGCCTATGCTCTCCAAATGCCTAAAGCTCCTCGCGGCTGGAACATTGTTACGAGGCCCCGAACAGGAGTGTATCTGCTGGGCTTCGGGCAAGGTGCTGCGCGCTTCCCATAACTCGGTTCATTTATTCACAGCGTCCCACTGTCCAGATGGAAAGTGAGGTCCAGACGGGTTAACTGCCAAAGGACCAAGCGAGTCCAGGAGACAAGCAGACTCCTCTCGCTCATCTGGGGACTCAGGCTCAGACAGCGTCTGTCTCCTTTTCGGCCCCTCCTCCTGGTCGCCCTCCTCTTCTGTTCTGGGTCCCATCCTTGCTCTCGCCAGCAGCAGGAGGGATCGACGACAAACGTTAACCCTGGTTAAAGGTGCCACACTCGGCAGCTTTTAAGGGACGTGTGGCAAAGCTCACTCAAGTGTCAGCAAGGGGCACGTGCTGTGTCCTCCGGCACGACACGCCAGCACTCAACACCATCTCTGGCAGCATCGCGATCCACTCGGAGCCCCAGGACAGTGATACAGCTGCGTGATGGGTTCCGGGTCAGGTGAGCGATCTCCCTGCATGCGGCCACAGGCCACGCTGCCAGTCCGTCTCAGGCCGAAGAGGGACAGGGCCACGGCATGGAAAGGCCACATACCGAAGACTGTCGTGACCATTTCTGGACGAAATACTGTTGTTTTAACACACAACAAACCCACAAAAACCTCTAATTAAAAATGTATAGAAGCCCTGCAATTAAATAATTTTTAGTTTAGGAGGAATTATTTTTGACTTGTCACTTTTTTTTTTCAATATTTTTATTTCTAGGAGAGAGAGAGAGAGAGACAGCGTGAGCAGGGGAGGGTCAGAGAGAGGGAGGGAGATACAGACTCTGAAACAGGCTCCAGGCTCTGAGCTGGCAGTCAGCACAGAGCCCGACGCGGGGCTCGAACCCACGAACCGCGAGATCATGACCTAAGCGAAAGTCGGACCTTTACCGACTAAGCCACCCAGGCGCCCCTACTTGTCACATTTTTAAGTTTTCCATATAAAAGCATTTGTTTTTGAAGAATGTGTAACTGGATAGAACCAGAAATGGGAGTTAATTTCTGTTCTGCTTTGTTTGTTCTGAGAGAAAGTGCGAGAGGGGCAGAGAGAGAGAGAGGGATTGAGAATCCCAAGCAAGCTCCTTGCTGTCGGCACAGAGCCTGATGTGGGGCTCGAACCCATGACCCTGGAATCATGACCCAAGCACAAGTCAGAGTTGGACGCTCAATGGACTGAGCCCCAGGGGCCCCAAGAGTATTTTTTTTTTTTAATGTTTTATTTATTTCTAGGAGAGAGAGAGAGACAGCGTGAGCAGGGGAGGGTCAGAGAGAGAGGGAGTCACAGACTGAAACAGGCTCCAGGCTCTGAGCTGGCAGTCAGCACAGAGCCCGACGTGGGGCTTGAACCCACGAACCACGAGATCATGACCTAAGCGAAAGTCGGACGCTTAACCGACTAAGCCACCCAGGCGCCCCAAAAGTATTTTTTAAAGTACAATAATTTTCACCACCACAGATTTAGAATTTTGGATAAGAATATATTTTATTTTCTCATAAAAGTTCTACCAAAAATAGACTTTTTCTGTAACTTAAAAATACTGCTTTGAAAAGCAAAACTGGAGTTGTTGTAATTCATTATGTCTTACAAACAGCAGTGAAAGAAATCGACAGAATGGATTCGATTTTTGAGTATAAAAATGTTCATTTCGAAAGCTTCACTTTGTCCTTTACTAACTTGAAGGTGGGGTTCTTGCTGATTTTCTTGTTAAAGATGGTCAGGAGCTCCTCTTCCGATCTGTGGTGCTCCTTTGTCACCGCGTAATACTGAGCCAAAACCTTCGCAGGGAAAAAGATATCAAGTGGGTGATTTGTCCTGAAGATTTACCTAAAACATCCTTCCTTTAACCCAGGAGGAGGCCACAGTAAAACAGAAAAGAAACGCAGGTGCCGGTCACAGGGGTGTGTTCTGCCCGCAGCTTCGCGCACCCACACGTGCAGTCTGTCCCCCTCGCCACGAAGTTAAAAACAAGAAGAACCACTGCCCTGCACTAAGCAAACGACAGCAAGATGCCAAGAACAGGACTTTCCCAGTTTCTTCAGCACCGTTCTGGCTCAGGAAGTGCGATGGGATGGGGTCCAGTCCCCCCACCCCACCAGGGGCGACTGAGCAGCTGGAAAATCACAGATACAAATCCCTAGTATTTTAGATTAGGAAAACCAAAAAGTGTACATCTTGCAATAAAGAAGTGGCTGTCCCCAGCTTCTGCACCTGGGTCCATGCGCCATACCTTTTTCCTGAGCTTTTTGATCGCTACTTCATTGTCCGGGGCCTGTTTCAGAACTGCTTTAATAGTTCCCTTCCAGTTGAATTTACCTACGATATAGAGAATAACATTTGTTTCAGTGTATAACCAGACGGATAAAGCAACCATCTGAGTGACATCTATCTGCTACCCGGGAAATGAACTAATAACCCTGACCGCGCCATGTAGCAGGTGCAGGGCCTGTCCGCTCACAGGGGCCTACAAGCCTGGCTCCCCTTCCAGGACTCGCCCTCAGAGTGAGCAGGTCAAGTAGGCCACCCGAAGTACCATCACTGTCAGATGCCTGTAAGAAGACCCCGCTGAATCCGATGAACGCAGGAACCGCCACGGAGCATGCGCTAACATCATGGGGCTGCCTAAGAGGAGCAAAAGCAGCTTCGCCTCGGACGACAGAGACGGCCACAGACACCAGCTGTCCTGCGGGCTAAAGGCTCCCTAGGGGACTTCTGTTTCCGGGAAGATGGAGCAGATGTACTTTTCCCGATTCCATCTGCTGAGAGCAACGAAACCCCTGGAATCCTCTACAGACAAACACAGGACGACTCTGAAAGATGGTGAGAAGGCGGACCAGGTAGGGACCTCGGGACTTGAGGAGTGACCTGGTAGTGAGCTTCCTGTGTTTTCTTTTTGCTCCAGAGATCCCAGATTTGGAGCTCAAGAAGCTGGCAGCCTGGAAAGCCAACAAAGCAAGTCTCCACGAGAGCCTGATCCTCCTCAGCGAAAGACCAAGGAGCAGTAAAAGACCAGGAAAGGAACCCCTCCACAGTCTCCTCTCCTCCAGCTAAACATCGTAGAAGCAGCGTGTGGCTCCACCCCCTCAAGGCTGTGATGAGGGAAGGCGTCAACAAAGGCTGGGTAGGAAATCGGGACTCTCATCCACGCCAGCCGGTACCGTGGCCGTGGCCACGGACAGTGGTGACCACGTGGGGAGCCAGAACTCCCACCCTGCCTGCAGTAGCAAGGAGTGGTCCCCTCAGGTGCCAGCAGAAGTCGGGCAGGCTCCCACCTGCTGTCATGAGGTCTTGTCCCCCACTTCCCCTGCCAAATCACATGGGAAAAAGCCAGTTGAAATAAGACCCAGAGTCTTGTAATCTATGAAAATATCCAGGTGCCAAGTGAAAACCAGTCATCATTCCAAGATAAAAATACTTCAATAAACAATTCTGTATAAACTTGGAACAAGAGTAGAAACACTCAGAAAAAAAGACATAAAGAACCGAACAGAGATTTTAGCACTGAAAAATATGGTAGCTGAACTGAAAAGCTCAGTGGACAAACAGAACAGAGGGGGGAGAGGAAAGAATCAGTCAACTAGAAGATAAAACAATAGAAATTACACAGTCTGAGCAAGAGAAAACTGGAAGAAAAACAAAACAAGCCCAGAGCATTAAGAAAACTATAGAGCAGTACCCCTCATGAGTACAGACACAAATATACCTAGCAAAGTATTAGCAAGTAGAATCTAGCAGTCAGGTAACACATAAGAAAATTATACACCACAACAAAGTGGGTTTATTCCAGGGATGAAAGACTGGTTCAATACTTGAAAAATCGATCAGTGCAATCCGCCACACTAATAGCTAATGAAAAAAAAAAAAAAAACAATCACATCAATCAACGCAGAAAAGGTGTTTGACAAAATTCCAACACATTCATGATAAAAACTCTTAGAAAAATAGGGACACAGAGGAATTCCTTCAACTTTAGATAAAGAGCATCCACCAAAACCCGACAACTGCCGTGAAAGTAAAAGGCTTAATCGTTCTTTAGATGAGGCACAGAGCAGGGATGTCAACTCTCACCACTCTTATTCAATGCTGTGATGGAAATTCTCTCCAGTGCGTGAAGAGAAGGCCAGGGAAGAGCAGTCCCGCGGCTCAGAGAGGAATTACAGCTGCCCCCATCTTCGGATGACATGATCTACGTACAAAGACCCAGGGAAATCCACAAAATCATGCATATTCTGTATAATCACAGCAAGGGTTTTTGTAGAGCTAGACAAGATTATTCTAAAACTGAACTCTGACAAAGAATAAAGCCTTCCCAGTTTCAAGATTTCTGACAGAGTCACAGCAATCGAGGCTGTGTGGTGTGGGCAGGGGACAGAGAATCCACGAAACAGAATCAAGAACCCAGAACAGAACCACACAAACATGCGCGAGTGATTTCTGACACAGGTACAAAAGCGATTCAATGAGGCAGAAGCGCCTTCTCAACAAACAGTGCCGGAGAACTGCACACCGATGGGCAGAAAAATGAACTTGTACTGAGTCTTATATGTTACATAAGAATCAACTCAAGATGGATTGTGGGCTGAAGATCAAAACTGTAAACCATTTAAACACAGAAAAAAACGCCTCTTTGGGATCTAGGGTTAAGCAAAGAGTTCCCAGACTCGGCACCAAAAGCATGACCTATTAAAGGGGAAGTTGACAAATTAAACTAAATCAAAATGAAAAAAATTGTTCTATAAAAGACGGTTATAGGATAAAAAAGCTACAGACTGAAGGGAAAAAAACTTTGCAGACCACACATCCCACAAAAAAGTAGTATTTAGAAAAGGATACATAAAGAACTCTCAAGTCTTAACAGTAAAAAAGAAAATCCAACTTGAATATAAGCAAAAGACACGAACAGATGTTTCAATGAAGAGCTAGATATACAGATGGCGAATAAGTACATGAAAAGATATTTAACATCATTAGTGATAAAATCATCCCAAGCTGTTATTACACACCTGTCGAAACAGCTAAATAAAAATGTACCACCACCAAACCCTGGCCAGGATGTGGGAAAAGTGGGTGAGTCACACACGGCTGGGGCGATATAAAATGGCACAGCCACTCTAGAAAAAGTTGGTGCTTTCTTTAAAAGCTAGACACACAGTCACCACACCACACAGCGACTGCCCTCCTGGATGTTTCTTCCAGAAAGAAGTGATGTGTGTTCACACGAAACCTGTATGGAAGTGCTGACGGCAGCTTTGTTCATAACGAGTGGAGACTGGTCCTTCAAGAGAGGAACTGGGTGCGTCCACGCCACGGGCTACTACTCAGCAGAGGGAATGGGTTTCCAATACACACGACAACCCGCATGCATCTCCAGAGAAGAACGCTGAGCGAGACAGGGCAGTCTCAAAACCTGACGTACTCAAGGATGCCATTTAGGTAACTTTCTGAAACCGTGGAAGTACAGACACGGTGATCGGATCAGTGGCTGCTGGGGGCTGGTGGGGCGGCGGGGCAGGGCCTGGCTAGAAATGGGCCCACAGTGGGGCTCCCGGTGGCCAGGGGAGTGTTGGTCTCCTGCCTGTGTGGGCATCAGCACCCTGTGGGCACAGGACACTTGTGCCCACTGTGGCCCTAGCAGGAAGCAGGGAAAAGGGCACATGGACCCATTGGTCTCTATTTCTTACAACTGCATGTGAATCTGCTGTTCTCCCAAAAGTATTAAAAAAAAAAAAAAAAAAGGGCTCATACACCCCAATTTGGGAGTGGGGGTTCCAAGTGAAGAGGTCTAAGTCAGCTCGGGCAGTTACTGAGCCTCCATTAGTAATGCGTCCACCCCCACGCGAGTCCTTGAGTCTGCTCTGGATTAGCAGGACCCCAGCGAACGCTTCAGGCCGGAGGCAGCGGGGGCAGTTTTGTGGAGGAGGCAGCGTTTTAGAGGAACTTTAAAGGCCGGGAATCGGATTCTGTGGGTAATCCCGGGATCAAGAGCAGAGGGGAGGGGGCAGCTAAGTCTGGGGGTACTTCCAGGACAGGAGTGAGGGGCAGGGGGAAGGAAGCAGGCAGAAGCGAAAGGGAACAAGGTCTCGGAAAGCCGTGCTGGGTTTATCTTCGGTTCCAGAGAGAATGGATGTCCAGTGTAGACAGTCTTCCCCTTAAAGCCAGACAGCCACTGTGGAGGGGCTCCCATGGCTCCCATTCTCCCCTCCGGGGCCACACCGCGCCCGAGTCTGGAGGGCATGAGCCGTCTGAAGGCCCCGGGTCACCTCCTCCCTCCCCACCCTGACCAGACCTCTCCAAAGGATGCCAGTGATACCTTTTGCAGGAGCCTCATGGTTTTCTGGTTCGCCACCCTGAGAATGTTCTGACAACTTTTTCTTTTTCTTCTTAGTATCTGCTTCATCTAGGAAAGCAGAAAGATTGAGCACGAGAAAAAGATTTTGCGTTTACAACAGCAGCCACGATTTAATGAAAGGCGTGCATGGCCAGGCCCCGTGCATCCGCCAGCATGACCTGGCTCACGGGACTCTCCCCCTGCGGGTCTGGGGGGCACGCGGCGAGCGGAGAGGTGCCGTCACCCGGGCCCGGGCTGGCCCAATCGCAGAGCTCATGCTCCTTGCCTTACTCGGTCTGAACGCCAGGTCTGGCACAAATTCACTGCTCTACGGCACCGTAACAGAGCCCAGGGCACACGCCAGCCACATACCTTCCATGTGCTTCTGCTTTCTCTTCCCGGGCCGCGGCTCCAGCGGCTCCTCCCCGGCGGCTCCGGCTCCATCCACCGCCGCCGCCGGGGCCTTGCCCTCCTCGCTCCAGCCCTTCTTCCCTGCAGAGCCCGGGGCGTCCCCTCCAGCCTCCTGCGCGGCTGCTGGCCCTGTTTTGCGCTTCTTAGGCTTTTGACTCTTTGAATTCTCCTGGTGGCCCTCTAATTTTAGTTCTTTCTTCTCTTTTTTTCTATTCTTCTGCCTTTCTTCCTTCCTTTCTCTTTTATTCTTCTTCACATCTGCTTGCTTTTCTGTGGTGTCATTTGTCTGGGAGGCCGGAACCTTTGTGGAAAGTTCTGTGCTGGGCGGGTTGACTGCTTGGTCGCGTGGCTGTCGGTGTGGCCCCTTACCGACTGGTTCCTTATTATTAAGCAAAACCAAGAGACACATAAATACTCATTCCAGGCATTTGTGCACATCACTGCACGTGTGTACAGAGCAAACTGTTCCAAGAAAAATGTCTACTACTTACCATCTTACTGTGACTGCCTTCCCCCCAAGAGCTAAAATGTGGCAGTAAACATATCAAATGGGAAAAAGAAAGGTCCCCCCAGCCCACGCCCCACCCTGCATTTAATAGACATTTCCGTGCCACTGGAAAAGCGAAGAATCCTTATGTCACTTAAGCTAGACCTTTACTTCTGGCTCACTGTCCACCTTTCTGGTAGAAGATGAGCACACTGGTGTGGCAGAAACCACTGGATTTATGCATCTGCAGACCTGGGTTCGAGCACCAGCTCTGTGAATTCTGAGCCGGGTGACTCAGGGCAAGTTATTTATCTGCTCCGAACCTACTTCCTCACTGAGAACAGGAAAGGTAGTAGAGTGAAAGTTCATGGACGAATAAAATGGAAAATTATGTCACGTGCTCAGCAGCTCATGGTGCTGAGTAAGGAGGAGCAGACGGAGGATGCTCAAATGAGCCACTTTACGTCCAGGAAGGTTCTGTAAACCCTGGAGCGCTCGAGCAGCACAATTTACTCATTCAGAACAGAGGAAGGGATCCGGGACACCTGGATGGAGGGAAGCACAGGGAGCGGAGGCCTGGAGGGAGGAGGGAGGGAAGCCCGGGGAGCAGGGGCCTGGAGGGAGGAGGGAGGGAAGCCCGGAGAGCGGGGACACAGAAGCCTAAGGAACCACAGGCCGCGCACTACCGTACTCAAGCTGGCACATAGACCTGACTGAGGACAATGACCCCAGCAGAACGAGGCCGCTGCCCGCGGCACCCCCTGCCCACGGCACCCCCTGCCCACGGCACCCCCTGGCCCGGAATCTAGGCTGGTCTCTACATCAGCCCCTTCTCAAGAATAACGCCCGCAATGCCCAGAACCGCTGGTGGGTCCTAACGCGTCCGGGTGGGAATGCTCCGGGAGTGGCGGGGACCGCTGGGCATCAGTGCCCGAGACCCCTTCTCGTTAGTTACCAGCTGGGTGACAGACCAGTCACCTCCAGTCTCCTTCCTCTGGGAGGGTAGGTCTCAAGGCGGGAGCTACTGTCTCCCAAATTGAGGACTGGCTTTCACTCAAGTGCAAAGAGTCTACAAGGTCACGCCTCTGTCAGCGCTCAAGCCCCCGGCAGGTGGGAGACCAGCCAGGCCAGGCACGGGGAGGGAGGCAGGCCGTGTGCTCAGACACCCAGTCAGAAGGACGAAGGGGCCCACGTCGCCTCGCTCCTGGCCTACGGTGCCCTTCCCGGCTTCGAGGAAGGCACCGTTAGGACACTGAGAGCCTCAGACCCCGGCCTGCCTGCTGCCCGGGTCAGACCACGTCTCTAGCTCGGGTCTCCCGTCCGCACCCGGGAGGGGACACACGCATCCCATATGGGAGCTCCTCGGCAACGGTCGACACGCTCCGTCCCCATATTCTTTCTACTTCATTCCAGGCTCTCCTCAGAGCGACCCCCTTTCCTAACAGAGCCCCCCCTCCCGCCTTCCGTTTCTCCCCAGCGCTTCCCACGCCCACCCCACCGTCCCAGCCGGGACCCACATATGCCACCGTGGGTCCTGCGATGGAACGCCGCACTGTGAGGGCGGGACTGTGGCCTCATCGCAGCTGTGGGTATAGGGGCCGGGCACGCTGCCCTGGGGCACAGACCATACCCCAGGAGCAGAGCACGCAGGAGCCGAACGCCCAGCGCACGGTAACGGGAGGGGCAAACGGCAGGGGTGTGAACGGATGGGGCCACAGAGCCACCTGCGCCACACACGCGGGGTTGTGCCGCGAAGGCCACGTTTTACAGAGCTCAGTGTGCCATGGGCTGCGTACTGATTATTCATTTACTTTTGAATATGTTCACGGCTTCAAAAGGAAAACCAGAAACTTTTTTTTTTTAATTCTGCAGTGAACAAAGCAATTCCAAATCTTTGATTCTTACTTGAGATGATGGAAATAATCTTTAAAAAACAGTCCCACCTAAATGCTAATCAAGTGACAGGTGACAGAGCGCGCTCGGGCGGCACGCAGCAGCTCGTGCACTAGAACGAGAACACTGGAGAAGGTAGCGGCCGTTGTGCAAAGACAGCGCCTACATGACCAGTTCTAAGCTTCCGAGGGCCCAATCTGTTTCTTCTGGAAGCGAAAGGACAGGACAGTTTCACTGTTTATCCCAATTTGCTACGCGAAATGTTCCCTCTTTAAGTTAGTCAAATCCCGGCAAGGCGAGCAGAATAAAAGGTGGTCAGAAAACCCCACTGTTGGGGGCGCCTGGCTGGCTCAGTCGGTGGAGCACACGACTCCAGGTCTCAGGGCTGTGGGTTCAAGCCCCACGTTGGGTGTGGAGCCTACTTGTAAAAGAAAGGAAAACCCCGCTGTTGTTTTTTAAAACTGCTATCGATTTAAGTCTACAGATGAGGCATAAAGCTCCAAACAGCAGCAAGGTGCAGGTGAATTAACGGGGAAAATGCTTTTAATTAACTGCGTGACCTACAAGGTGGCCACATGGTATCAGATCAAGACTCTGCCTGTGGTCCACACCGAGGGGTCTCTCAGATCGAACCAGACAGGCGGCTGACAATTACACCTAGGAGATTCACGGACGGACGCGCACTGGGTGTCCACCAGTCACGGGCATGAGGAGGGGTGCTTGCACGGTCTCAGCTGCTTTAATAAAGGGATGGGGCCTTCTGTGACCCCCTCGCCTGAAGGAACCCCTAAGTCGCTCCCTATGTCCTCACGGTTTATTTTTCTTCATGGCTCTGTCATGACCTGAGACATTTTATAGTTCCTGTCCAGGGCCTGGCACAGATCAGGCACTAAGTCCCGAATCCATGCATGAATTGGACTTCTTTAAGTCATCTTTTCTTTAAGACAAGGAAACGGAGGCTCAGAGAGGTTAAATAAAGTGCCCAAGATCAAACATTTGGCCAACAGCACAGCAGGGATTCAAACCAGGTCTGTCAGACACCCCAAGTTCCTGCTCTTTCCAGTACATCCCACAAGCCGCTTCATGTTAGCTGGTACTGTTATCAAACATTGGGATTAAATACCTTTCTCTGCACAATAAGGAAATCTTCTCTGCAGTGCATTCAGTTTATTCTTTCCCATAAATGAAGGCACAAAGAGGCTCTCTGAAAAAGAAGGCTGTCTTGACCTCCAAAAATAAGACATTCCCATTTCATTATTACTGATCATTGTTGCCACACTACAAATGTGAAATTAGATCTGACTTACACTGCTGGAAGCTTCAGAAAAGATATTCCACACCTGCTCCAGAAGGGATTCATTGTGAACTTTTAAACTGTTCCCCATCCAATTCTGTAAGGAACAAACACACAGAAAAACCTGACGTGCTCCATTCTGACAGGTGCACACAAGCTCAGTCACCACGGGGCCGCGCGTCCCTTCCATTCAGGGAAGGCAGATCACATCCGTACCTGAAATTTCGCCTTTTTCCTGGGAACGTTGTCAAAACCACTAATTTGCTCTAAAAGTTCCCTCACTTTGGGGCTCACGTTGGGTCTTTTTATTAATTCATTAATTTTCTACAAAAAAGGAAAGATAAAACAAGTAATAAACAAGTGGCACAAGAGTTTCACAAAAGCCAAGGTTAAGTGTCCTTCCCCTGGCTAGAGGTGTCGCATTTCAAGGCCAGGTTCTGTATTAGTGCCTATGCTTACAAATTCACCACAGTGCCGAAGCGCTGGCCGGAGCAACTAGGCAACAAAAAGAAATAAAGGCATCAAAATTAGAAAAGGACGCATAAAATCATCTCTGTTCACAGATGATTTCATCTGACATGTAGAACACACCGAAGATTCCACAAAAAATCCCATCGGGACCAATAAGTCCAGCAGTCAGAGGACTCAGAATCCACGCTTTCTAGAAAATTAAGTTCTAGACATCCATACACCAACAAGCTGAGAAGGAAATTAAAAAAACAATTCCTTTTATAATAGCATCAAAAAGAATAAAATACTTAATAAACTTAATCATTAAGAAGCTGAAAGACTTGTACACTGAAAACTGTAAAACACTGAAAGAAATTAAAGAAGACACAAATAAGTGGAAAAGACATCCTGTGTTTGTAGGTCGGAACACTTAACATTAAGAGGGCAATACGAACCAAAGTGAGGTACAGATTTAAATGCAATCCCTGTGAAGATCCAATTGACATTTGGGGTTTTTTTTGTATAGATAGAACGCTCCATCCTAAAATTCACGTAGAATCTGAGGGGACAACAATCCTGAAAAAGAACGAAGTTGGAGGTCTCATGCTTTCTGATTTCAAAGCTAGAGTGATCGAAAAAGCATGGCACTGGCATCAAGATGGGCACGTCAACCAATGCAATGGCGAGCCCAGAAATTAACCTTGCATCTGTGGGCAAATGGTTTTCAAAAAGGGTGGCAAGGGGGCGCCTGGGTGGCTTAGTCGGTTGAGCGTCCGACTTTCGCTTAGGTCATGATCTCGCGGTTCGTGGGTTCGAGCCCCGTGTCGGGCTCTGTGCTGACTGCCAGCTCAGAGCCTGGAGCCTGTTTCAGAGTCTGTGTCTCCCTCTCTCTCTGACCCTCCCCTGCTCACGCTGTCTCTCTCTTTCTCTCTCTCCTAGAAATAAATAAAAAAAAAAAAAAAAAAAAGGGGGTGGCAAGACCATTCAGTGGGGGAAGAACGGTCTTTTTAACAAATGGTGCTGGGAAAATGGATATCCACATGGAGAAGAATGAAGTTGAACTTCTGCCTAACACTGCATACAAATACTAACTCAAAATGGATCAAAGACCTGAACTTAAGAGCTAAAAACTAAGCACAGAAGGGAAAAGTGTTATGACAGTGGATTTAATAATGAGTTTTTTTATACCTAACACCGAAAGCACAAGCAGCGACGACAAAAAAACTGGACTATATAAAAATGTAAAACTTGGTGTACATTAAAGACGCTGTCAACTGAGTGAAGATGCAATTCATGGAACAGGAGAAAATATTTGCAAATCATGTATCTCATAAGGCGTTAACATCCTGAATATTTAAAGAATTCTGACATCTCAACAGTGAAAAATAAACAACCTTGGGACACCTGGGTAGCTCAGTCAATTAAGCAACCGACTTCAGCTCCAGTCACTGCGGTTCAGGAGTTCAAGCCCCGTGTTGGGCTCTCCGCTGTCAGCACAGAGCCCACTTCCGATCCTCTGTCTCCCTCTCTCTCTGCCCCTCCCCTGCTCACTCTCTTTCCCTCTCTCTCTCTCTCTCTCTCTCTCAAAAATAAACGAACATTAACCACCCTGTCGTAACGCCTCAGATGCCTATTATCACAAAAACCAAAAGTGCCGGGGAGTAGGAGAAGGGATTGGAACCTAGTGGGAATGTAAAATGGCGCGGCCACTCTGAACAACAGGATGGTGCTTCCTCAAAAAATTTAAAAATCCAGCAATTCCGCTTCTGGGTGCATGGCCCAAGACAACTGACAGCAGGGACTCATTTGTACAGGTATTTGTACACCATGTTCGTAGCAGTTATATTATTCACAATAGTCAAAAGGCTGAAGCAAGCCAAGTGTCCATCAACATACGGATGTATAAACGTTGTGCGGTCCGTCCACACAACGGCATGTTGCTCGACCTTCAACAGGAAGGACGTTCTGACCCCTGCCACAGCATGGACAAACCTGGAGGACATTGTACTCAGTGAAATAAGCCAGGCACAAAGGACAAATCCTGTATGACTCCGCTTAGATGAAGTCCCTCGGGTAGTCAAAGTCACAGAGACAGAAAGCAAGATGGTAGATCCCAAGGGCTGGGGACGGAGGGGACGTGAGGAGTCTGTGTTTAACGGGGACAGAGTTTCAGCTCGGGAAGATGAAAAAGGTCTGGCAATGGATGGAGGCGGTGGCTGCAGAGAGTGCGGCTGCACTTATGTGCTTCAAAATGCTTACAGTGGTAAACTCTGTGTCAGGTATAACTTACCACTTGCCACAAGTTTTTAAAACTTGGAAAAAAGAATATAAACAGACCAAAGGGGATCAAAAGATTCAGACGAAAATGGATATTATCCAGACCAGGAAATTACTTGAGGACCAAGACAATAAGCAGCCTTAAGATCTAATGAGTAAGTCTGAAATAGCAGAACAGAGCAGAGATGGAAACTAAATTAGCAACCTAGAGAAAATGCTTATGGCAATCTCAGTGAAAGCAGGGGAAAAAGATAATTTAAATTAAAGTTAAGGAAATGACAGTACACAAGAAAAATGGTCATTGATGAGCCAAGAGAAAGAAAAATAATAAACATAACAGAACACAGGATGATGTCTCTGCATTAGGAAAAAATTAAAGCTACATATACACAGACCAGAAAAAACGGATACAAGACACTAACATGAGGAGAAGACAAACCTTCTCTAGGTACCTAGGCAGCAAAACAAATCAAGACAGTGAGACAAGCATGAACAAGGAAGAAGTGAAGCTGGCTGGGCACTCGCCCGAGTGGCACGTGGGGTCAGAACAAGGCACTGGTGACAAAGTTCTGAGGAAAACATTGTGACCCAAGCAATGGGTGAGGTCTCCCGGACCCACCTACCCACCCTGTGTGTGTAAGCCCAGAGGCATCTAGAAGGATGCTCAGTTTTGGACCACTGATAGGACTCGAAAACTTCGTCTTTAAAACTGAAGGGTTAGGGATTCAATCCCCATGAGGATTTTTCCCTGTGGGAGAACACCCAGCGTGCCGGAGGGCCCGGACAGCACCTGGAGGAGGACTCGATCTATGACCCAGTGACGCGGCTGCAGACGCCTGACAGTTCACAGCAGGGATCAGCAAACCCCTTCTGTAAAGAACCAGGTGGTAAGGGTTTTAGGCCCTGACTCCTGGGCGGCGGCCATGTAGCACTTGCACCAGCTGACCATCCAGAAACAAATGCGCGCGGCCGCGGCGGGGCCCTTGCATTTGCCGGCCGTGCTTTAGAGGATGTCATGCCAGACATGATGCAACTCATACACTCAGGTACCTCAAGCTCAGGACCTAGAATGTCATCTCTTTCTTGGGGGGATTAAGATACAGTCTGAGCCCAAAAGTGGGGCTGACGGTCACCAGCCTAAACATCTTCGTTAAAATAGGGAGTTTTACTAGCTTCTCTATCTGCACTGGGCTGACCTAGTGATTAGTCCTTTGTGAAGGGAAGGCGTCCCCTCCCAGGAGGTGGCTAACTCAGCAAGCCAGGGAATACCAGAGAAGGCGCATTTAAACTCTATCGTCAAAGGGAGTTAACTATTATGTATCCGGTTTCTAAGAGGGTAGAGGATTTACAGATGACGTTTGTCTTTTCTTTCTCCTACCTCCCGTTCTGAATCCTCTCTCCTAAGGATCTCTTTCTGAAAATGGGGAGTAACGTTCTGGAAGCTTCACCTCTCAGTGAGTTAGGGACTTTGCTGCCTTTGCTGTTTTTACTGTGCGTTGTACTGAAGCAGAAAATTCCTTTTATTTATGAAAATAACTTTATTTTGCCCAATTCTGATGACTGACGGATGTGGCAGATTAGAACATGGCTTGAGCAATACAAGCTGCATTACCACTAGAAGTGGATAAAGATTAGAAAGTTTCCGGTCAGTTTCGTAGCCAAGGGAAAGACAGCAGAACTCTAAACGCTTTTGCAAGAAATCTGCAAAGCGTGTGGATTAAAGACCAAATGCACTGCAGGTGTGTTCACGGAGCAATAAGGAGTTCTTGGCCAAGGCCGAGCCGCTCAGTCCCCGTCTGCTCTAGGGCACGATGTTTGCGCATCTTGTCTGCGCATTCGACGTGTTTGCTCTCAGGCTTCCAAAGAAAGCGGAAGAGGTCAGAAGCAGCTAGAAGTAGCTGAGAACTAAGAAGACCTCACCTGGATCCACGCCTGCTGCTTAACGTCGCCTTTGTGGGTTTTACCTTCGTAACCTTTGCCGCCATACTTCTGTTCCTCGCTGATGCACTTCACGTGGTTTTTGTAGTCGTCACCCCTTCAAAGTGATAGAAAGTTCCACCGTCAGACCGACCCTCCAAGCGGAGGCTCTGTCTGATGCTCATGTGCTGCTCCCACCCTCTGTTCTCCAGCTTTACGGTTTGTAACATGCTGGGCAGACGCATCGTCCCTCCCCCAGGCTGTTCGATGCAGAGCCCAATTGCCAAAGCTTCCACCTGCTTCTCCATACAAAGGTTTTAAACCAAACCGACGGGCAGTACTTTTTTGGGTCATAAGTGAATATTTGCAGAAAAAACAAAATAAAAAGAATTCTCTGCAATAGGGTGGCTTTATTTTAAATGATAAAATCTGTATGGTTACCTGGTTACAGAGTAGCCCATCGATAAATAGCTATACAATAAGTTAAAAGCTAGAGTAAAATGGTGCTATCTTGTCACTCAAAAGTTCTAGATCTCCAAGGCTCAGAAAATGAGGAAACTCGATTCTGTCTCCTACAATCATCTAGAAGACCTTCGGGGAGATGTTCGGGACCCGGTTGGGGGCAAAATCTCTCAATGAGAAAAACCCAGTTTTCACCTGTGTTATTGATCAGGCTTCCTCCTAGGATTGGTTAGGTATCAACAAAGGCTTTAGCAGTTTTCAAATAATTTTTTTGGGGAAAAAAAAAATCACTGCTTTCTAGAATGAAATTAAAATGGATTATTAGCAAATATCGTCCGAATACCAGAGGCCATTGAGGCAGAGGCCCCAAAAGCCACCTTTGCACCTAAACCTGGGGAAGAGGTGAGCCATCTGCAAACAATGACCCGTCCCCAGAGAGGAGATAAGCAGTGAAAAATCTGTCCTGCCCGCCCCCGCCCCCCGGTCCTCCCCTGTCCAGAGGCCCCTCAGTGGAAGTACTGGATGCACCCAGGGGCCAGGGCCTCGCTTCTACCATCACCTGTGAGCTTGCGCGGGGTGGGGGACTGTGTCTTTCCTCCCTGTCCCCCACGACCCAGTTCCCAATCTGTCAATCCAGCTCTCCAATGTGGCCAGCTGCCGTGCCCCTGGAGCCTTGCCCTGGGTGGTCGCCTCTCAGGGTCTGGTAACGCTGAGTGCCACCTACGGACCCCATGCTCCCGACATCTTCGTTCCCCTTCCCCTCTGTCCTCTCTTCCTGACGGTCCTTACAAAGTGAATAGGCTGCAGAGCACTTTTAATTTTTCTCTTCATTTCCTTCCTCAAAGGTGCCTCCACTTTCATTTTTTTAAGGCTTCATGGGACCCAGGGCTTCCCAAACAGGCCTGGACCTTTACTACGATCTACAGGAATTAGGTAGAACTTACCAGAAATCTTTACCGCAGTCAATACAAGACAGGCACTCGCAGTTTCTGCAAACAGCTGCGTGCTTTTCCACTTGCACTTTCTTCACAGATTCGCCACATGCATTGCATGTAAAAAAGACCATTTTTAGCTAAATGGTTAGGTATCCTCTATCCAAGATAGGTTTAAAAATCTTGTCCTAAGAGAACATGGAAAGAAAGGAAAAAATAATTTTATCATTGTAATCTGAAACATTTATTCACAATAAACAATCCTACAGCTTGCTTTTCAACCATAATTTCACATGAAAATAGCTACAAAGAACAGAATCAAAGCTGATTAGCAATCTACATAAAACTCTAAGTCAAGTCATAATTAACAGTGATAATGGCTAACATTCGTTAAGCCCAGTTAGCTTCCGGTATGCCAGCCCTGTTCTGAGAGCTTTACACACAGTAATTTATTTAATCCTCACAGCAATCCCCTGAGGGAAGGCCTATTACTGTGTACAATTTACACCAGGTATGGAAACACAGAGAGATTAAGTAACACACCTAAGGTCACACAGTAGCAGACCAGGATTGAAATTTGGCAGGCTGGCTCCAGGGAGAAAGAGTTTGGGGGGCATTAAGCAAAATGTTTTACTTTTCCTGATGATGTTAGGCTGGCTTAACATCCCTGTGCCTTTAGGTGTGAATGGAAATTATTTCCGATTCCCCAATACAACAAGAACACAGTGAGGAGGGAATTCAGGAAGGTTTAGAAAATGGACAAGGGGTCTCAGCATTCTGAGCATAGAAAACATTCATATAGGCATTACTACGTATCCAGATGTGAAAATAGGAGGCTGCACCCCTCAGTCTCAATGGACAGGGAGTAGGGGAGGGAGGGGCCTCCTTCGCAGGCTTCTTGCTGGACCGGTAAACAAGTGGAACCCTAGGGGTGCCTGGGCAGCTCGGTTGGTTAAGCATCGGACTTCGGCTCAGGTCATGATGTCACAGTTCTGGGTTCGAGCCTCACGTCGGGCTCTGTGCTAACAACTCAGAGCCTGGAGCTGCTTCAGATGCTGTGTTTCCCTCTCTCTCTCTGTCCCCCCTGCCTCGCTTGTGCTCCCTCTCAAAAATAAGTAAACAGACATTAAAAGAAAAAAAAAGTGAACCATCTATCAAGGGGGTCCTGGCTGCTGGGCACTGAATTAACGGAGGGTGTCCACAAACCCACGTGTCCCAAGCACTGCCCCGAGATGTCGTATGCCTGTGCAAACACATAACTACCATTTACAGATTTCACAGAGAGGCTATTGTGCTCAAGGAAACACAGATTCGTCTGAAAGTATTAGAGGAGTCATAGTAACTTTCCACGGCTACATAGTTTTTTAATCATTGGATTTTTAGAGCATTGTCATTTTAGGTTATAAGGAAGTTTCACAGCAAAAATACTGACAACTATTTGACCCAGCACCTTCCTCCTGCTGATAAAGGCAAAGGTAAGGGTCAAGTAACCCGGTGCGCTTTGACTCATACAGAAATCCTTAAGCACAGATGGGCAGTTGGGCTCCCAGAGAATTCCCATGCATGTAATCACTCTCTCCCCTCTACTCCCATGGTCTGGGTCACTGCCGGGGAGGTCACACATAAGGAAGTCACAGGGTAATTCCACTCCATTCGGCCTTGAATGGAAATGTACATCCTGGCTGCAGACCCGCGGGTTTCAAAGGCCCAGCCTGTCTCTCGTGGAAGCCTCTTGGCCCCGGTGCACCGTCGGACATCAGCCTTGCCTGATGCACTACATACACACACAGGTCCCGGCTCTGCTGTGCCCTCAGCTTGCCATCGGCGTGGCTTGGCAAGGGAGGGCACGTGGTCAGCCACTGCCCGGCACTGAGTCTAGAGGAGAGCAAACGTGGCGGTGGGTCTGGGATGTGCAATGGCTGTGACCATCCTCCCCTCTGGTCACCCTAAAGATGCGTCCACCCAGCACCAGTCCTGCGGAGCTGACATCACGTGAACTGTAACCCAACTCCCTCCAAGCTTGGCATTCTGCACTCAGCAGATGGAGGCTCAAACAATGACGGGCAAGTGACCGGCCACCCTGCCTCCCACGGGAGAACAAAGGCCAGAACCAGAACCAACACATCACTCAGCCGTCGGCGGGGGCACCTTTGTGTAAGAACAAGAGCGACTCGTTAATTAGTCACCAAGACATGGACGGCCATTGTACCCACAATGGACAAGCAGCTGTGTTAAACCAAATTATCTCCTGAAAACTTGAGAAATACTTTCATCACAAGAACCAACAATGAAAAATACCCCCTCAAACTAAACCAATGGCCTAGAGCTTTCTGACTTTCATTGGAAAGGTCTGCTCTGTTTCTCGATCCCAGGGGGAAAGGGGACGAGAGAAGGCTTTCGCAAGCTTTGAGATCCAACTGGGAGACTCGGTCTGTCAGCGAAGGTCAGGAATTAAAGGCCTGGGAAGGACAGCTGGAAACAAAACATATTGATTCAAAGAAGCCAGTGATGTTGACCAAAAAGATGCCAGGAATATCTGTGCAAAACACATCATCCCTCTGGGGATTAGCCACATGTGGTGTAAACATCAATTCAGGAGAGGATTAGAATTCAGTCACGTGTCCCTTGGAAAATTACCCCTTCAACCATGTTCACTGGGTCTTTTGTGGCAAATGTCCACATTTAAAATTTGTGGGTTTTTTTGTTTTGTTTTGTTTTTTAAAGCAGAATAGAACCCAGTCTCTCGGTGCCTCTGGATTTTTAGAGCCATCACTGTGTTTTCTACTACACTCCTCTGAAATGGGGCCAGTGTGGTCGCCTGCTTGTTAATGAGATAAGGTCTGTAAGGAGCTTACCCCTCTCTTATTTAGAGCCCCGGGGACACCCCAGCACTAGCCAGGAGTCACCTTGACCATGCTTCATATCTAAACATCTCTCCTGTAGGAGGTAACCACTTGGGGGGGGGGGTCTATATGGGGGGTGGGCTGTAAAGGACAGCAAGTCTCCTGCATGCTTAACAATCTCAGCCGCAGAAAAGTGCTACAAACTTACAAAAAGATGACTTCTGAAAACTCCGGCCCTCTAACTGAAGACAGCAGTCACTGCCTAACACAAAAAAAATTAGTTTTGAATTTCACAAAACTAAGTAAATGTGAAAGAAGTTTAAATAAACTTCCAAATGATGTTTTTGGCAAGCTACTAACATTTATACCCTAGAAATTTGGAAAGCTGAAGACAAGGCGCATTAAGAGTTTTAGGACACCCTGTATGCAGGACTCAGCTGTTACGAACTAGAGACGGCGTGCTTTAAGGGGCTGGACCTAAACAAGAGACCCCTTTTCCTTGCCTGACTCCCCTGCTCGCTGTGTCCAAGGGCAAGTCCCAGTGCGGAGATTCTCTGTGTCCTCCCTTCTAGAGGTACGGACACATGAAGAGAAAGCAGTGCCCGTGGGCTGGCTGGGAGCGTGCTCGGGGCCTTACCCCAGTGAGGTCACTGTAGTTCATTTCAGCAGCCCTGTGGTCAGTACCAAGTGTGCACTGGCATCCACATACACCTGGGGGCCTTCCCCAAGGGGGCCAGGCCCTGGGTGAGCTTCTGGCTGTCTGATCCTCTCTGGTCGATGTACTGAGCTCTCAGCAGAAGCCGAAACCCAAGAGAAAGATGATGAATCACAGAGTATGATTATTAGCTCGCCACAAAGCCACTTCGCATTTACGGCCACAGCTGTGCCCAGCACCCCCAGGACAGGCGTGATCACGCCACCCCCCCAACACCTGTGATAGAACACTGAGGCTCGCAGAGGTCAAGGGATCAGGCTAGAGACATAGGAAGCGGCAGAGGTGGCCCGAGACAAGCCCAAAGCTTCTGCCCTGCCTATCTTGACTCATCAATGTCTTTGGCCATTTGCTTGGCCATTGCTCAGCACATGGGACCTTGAGACCCTCACCCAAAAAGAAAGAAAAAAAAAACAAACAAAAAACAAAGGCTCCACAAATGACCTTCCATTTGACACCATAAGGACCCCCAGATCCTCACACACTGGGCAAGGTTACCACCCAGGTCACAGCTGAGGACGTCAGGTGCTGGACACTGATGCCAAGTGAAGGGGTAGCAGGCGGCAACGATCTGGGCACGCGAACTTGTGCGAGACTCGGGGCACCTCGGGCTCCCTTATCAGGATGGTGGTCTGTAGACTCAGGGCCAGAGATCTGAACTGGAGCCTGCACTAGTTCAGAAAAATGAACTCACTGAAAAGTGACCTCAAGGTTTCCTAACTTCCTGGATTCTGTTCATCTATAAAATGGACTCCTAATGCCTATCTTCGAGCACTGTGTGAGAAATAAAATAGGAAAGATTCAACCTTATTCAATGGTAGAAAGAATTTCCTGTGACCTATTAATTTGCCCATCAATGCTATTACACCCAGGCCCCTCCTAAACCCATGTCTCTTTAAACATGACCCTCAAACCACCCATCTATCTTCATAAGTTCACTCATCTCTTCTGGCTCCCCACCCCATGGGCGCCTAGTCTACCACCCTGTTCCCTGATACAATGACCTCACATTTAGTTCTGGAATTGGGAACTGGAGTCTTTTTTTAAACCCTTCCTCCCTCTACATTCTCATATTATTTTTACAGAAACGAACTCACTATTCTTAAAACGTTCTCTCACAGACCTAAACCCCATCACCCCTGGGCACGGCCCACTTGGGGGCAACCCAAGCACAGTTCCCAGTGAGCCCTGTGACCTCAAACAAGCCACTGTCCCCTCTGAACTTCAAGTCCTCCAATCTGTGAAACAAGGGGCCAGGAGCCCCTTCTAAGGCTAGAATTCCAAGAAACCAAGGGTATGGTGGAAAGAGAGGGTGGAGGAGTAGACACGGTCTACCATTTTGCCTGGACCCCTGAACGTAGGCTGATGAGGGTCTCCGTGAGCATCCACTCTATGAGGAAAGTACACCTATCCCCACTTAACAGATGGGCAAACGGAGGCTGGGAGAAGGTGAGCCATGTCCCTACCTCCCCACACGCCACCTCACCAGCATCCCTTCAGTGGCGTGGTCACATCTGTGGAAGTCTACCACGTGTCAGGCACGATGCTAGGTGCTGGGAGACTGGGGAGATGGGGAGGGAGGGGGGTGCCGGTGTAAGTCCCAAGTGGGCCCTCTGCAGCAAAGTCAGCCTTGCAAGTACACCCCACCTCATTTCCTTGTGTCCCCAGAGTTGGTGCTGCAAAAAATCCCGACCTTAACTGGTCCCCTACCACGTGCCACGCCCGGTCAGGGGTCGTTAATGTTTGTGCTCAAGTAATCCTTGCACCAGTACTGAGTCTGGTTCTCTAATATTCCCTTTTGACAGACCAAGAAACGGAGGCACACGACGATTAAGTAACTTGCAGAAGGTCACACATCCCATTAGGGGCAAACCTTAAACCCCGGGGCAGTTACCGCGACCCTAAGTCGGTGCTCCAATCACTATGCCCTATGCCACCTCCTCCTTATGGACAGAGCTCCCCAGGGCTCAGGGAAGACAGCAGCCTTGTCCCCGACGTGCACCAACGCAGAAGCCCAGTCCCGTGTGACCAGGCGTCTTGGTTTGCCCTGGGCAGAGGACTTATCTGTTTTAGAACCGAGAAGCCTCTGTCTTCCTAAGTCCAGGACCCCATCCACGACCCCAGGGTACGAACGAGATCTGAATGCACTGCCTCCTCCTTCCGTGGGTAAGCCCAAGGAGGGGCTCTCATGGTGGAAACGCGGGCATCAGCCACACCGCCCCCTGCCCCGCTCACCCTCTGAGCCCCAGCGCCCCGGGCCGCCGCCCCTCACCTCTCGGCCAGGGCCCGCCAACGGTTTCAACCGGCCGCGAGGAGCACGTGGAAACGCAGCCGCCGGGCCGGCGCCGCAGCCGCCTCCCTCCGGAGCTTCCAGGAGCAGGACCCGCTTCGCGGCCGCCCCGCGCGCCTGCGCGCTGCGAACCCGCTCCCGGCGGAAGTGACGTCCCCGGAAGCCGGAGGCAGATCCGGCCGGCCGAGGGGGCGTTGTCGAGATGGTTCCGCGGCCGCCGGGGCCCGGCGAGCGGCGCTGAGGGAGTCGGCGGCGTTGGCCGGTGAAGAGGCGGGAGCCGGGCGGGACGCGGCCTCTGAGGGTAAGTGGCCGCCGAGCCGGGAGGCCGGCCTCGCGAGGGCGTGGGGGCCCGGCGCGGTGCGGTGGGAGCGGGCCCGGCCCGGAGCCGCCGCCGCCGCCGCCGCCGCCGCCGCCGCCCCCGCGAGGGTCGCGGGGGAGCTCGCTGCATCCCAGAGCCGCGGGGCCTGCGCCCCCGGTGCCGCCGCCTCGGCGCCCGGCGCGCTCCTGGTCCCCGTCTGCCGCCCTGTAGTCGCGGGCAGGGCTGAGCGCCGCGGAGCTCCTACCTCCGCGCGGCCTCGTTTCCACGCGGGCTGCGCGCGTGTGACACGGGCGCGGGGACTTCCTCCCCGGTCCGGCCCGGGAGTCGGTGGATGCGCCGCGCTCAGCGCAGTGTCCGCCGCTTAATCGTTCAGCCCTTGCTCTCGGCCGGCGCTCAGCCGGGGCTGGCAGACGGGGGCGGTCACTAGGTGCTCGCTGCCTCACTGAGTGGCTACGGGGTGAACGGGGTGTGGACACGGTCCTGTGAGCTACAGTCACCCGGCGGGGTGCGGGGAGGGCTGATAAAGAGGGTTTCCCTCCGGAGGAGAGCGCGGTCGGGCTGGGACGGAGAGTGCATCCGTTTGCTAGGCCCGCAGTAGCCGACGCCAAGATCAAGGTGTCCGCGGGATTGTTCCGGGGCCACAGACACACACGGTTTTGCTGTGTTTTCACGTGGCCCTTTCTTCTGCGCAGGAACATTCCTGATGTCTCTCCTGTGTCCAAATTTCCTCCTCTTGTGGGGACACAGTCCCATTGGATTAGGACCCACCCGAATGGCTTCACCTGATTACCTAGTTAAAGACCCCCATCTCAAACCCGTAAATATTCTGAGGTCCTAGGGCTTAGGGTTTCAACATAGGGGTTTGGGGAGGAACACCATTCAGCCCTGAACAAAAGGCATTCACCAGAATGGACAAGGAAGAAAACACTTTCCACCAGAGTGTCAGAATGGCCTTGAGGTCTCCAAGCAGGGTGGCCGAGGTGTTTTTGTGTGCAGGGCCCACATGTGCCTCATTCGTGTTTGTGCCTCCGGGGTGGGGGGGTGACCTTTTTTCAGTCTTTCTTGGTAGATTGCATTTTCCAGTGTCAGCACACATGGCTCTTCCCTGAGGGAGTTCTCCCTGACCCTCCTTCTTCAGATTAATCTGCACTTGCCTCATTCGGCATCTCCAGGACCTGTTCCTGTGTCTTCTCTCTCTAGGATTGGGGGTACAGGAGCACCTGGCTCTGGGGGGCCTCAGAACGACTGCTGACGAAAACCAAATGCAGAGAAACGAGAGGCAGTGACACAAGAAAGGTATTTCAGGGAGGCCACCACGGGCAGGACAGTCTCCAAAGTGCCCGAAGTGCCTCCAGTTCATATAAGGAGAACGTGGGACAGACATTGGTGGATGCGTGCAGGTGGGCAGCGAAGGGCAGATCCATCATCATCTTAGGGTCACTGGCACGGGGTCTCCCAGCTCAGGGCAGGCCTGCTGGCTGGAGGGCACAGTTTCAGTTCCCAGCAGGGGATACTTTGCCCGAGTTAAGAAAGTAAAGAAATGGGGCGCCTGGGTGGCTTTGTCGGTTAAGCATCTGACTTCGGCTCAGGTCATGATTGATTTCAAGGTTCGTGGGTTCGAGCCCTGCGTTGGGCTCTGTGCTGACTGCCAGCTCAGAGCCTGGGGTCTGTTTCAGATTCTGTGTCTCCCTGTCTCTCTGACCCTCCCTTGCTCATGCTGTCTCTCTCTCGCTCTCTCAGAAATTAATAAAAAAAAAAAAAATTAAAAAGAAAAAGAAAGTTAAGAAACGAGCTGGAAAGAACTTAATCAGTTGGAAAGTACAGACTGAGGTCAGGATGAGGGATTGGAGGTCCTCGTTCATGAAGGCTCCTGTGGCCGTGTGGCGTGAGTGGTTCACCATTGCACCCTCAGTGGGGGGCACATAGTGACACTCTGTAAAGTTGAGTGACGTGCAGACTGATGAGACACAGCCTGTGGAGGGCAGGAGACAGATCTCACTCAGGTAATCATCATTTCATCCTCACAACGTCTGCGTGTGTCGGGCACGCGATATCGGTTTACCTGGAGCACCGTGGAGCCCGTCACTATAGCGCTAAGACAACCAGGGTCGCTTGCTTGAAGCCATGGCTTTGGTCATGGGGGTGGGGGGGGGCGGGGGCATTACGAATAAACCGTTTGAGAACCACGATGACCACAGACGAGGGTGGGACCTCTCTAAGGCAAGCTGGTGCTGAGGCGTGTGCCCTTTGGACCCTTGGAGAAGTGGTCCATCCGTGGCTCCTGGAAACTGACCTCTGCCAGCTCTGGGTGTCTGACCAGTTTAGAAAGTGTCCCACTGCACAGAAGGGCCCCTGCTGTGGGAACCCTCTCCTCAGGACAGAATTCCGTTCTGGCTCTTGTTCCCTTTAGGAGCACCTCTTCATGCTGTTCCGTGTGTGTGTGTGTGTGTGTGTGTGTGTGTGTGTGTGTGTGTACACATACGTGCACATGCACATGCGTGTGTTTTCTCTTTGCCCATATTTTCCCAATGTTCCCAGATTTCCCGTTGATGCCACTCGGTCCATCCTTCCGGCATCACATTTTGGTATAGATTTGTAGCCTTTAAAACAGGAAGATACCTTAGGAATTCTTTAACCCAAGGGGGGACCTCTCCATTTTCACATATGAAAAACTGAGGCTCAGGGTCTCCAGCCTTCGAGAAGCTACATGTCGAGCACTCCTGTGCTCAGGCTGCTCCTCTAGATAAGAGATAGGCTGGTCACTAAGACAGGTGCAGTCTGTGTCTTTACCACAGAGTGAGCAGCCACAGAGGTGGGATTGGCCTGTGCTCCTTGAGCCACCGTGCGACGCCGTGTGTTGCACGCATTCGTCCTCACTGTGCTGTGCTCACTGGGCCATCAGCTGACTTGACCCAAGCAGGCCTTTCATGTGCTAAGTGTAACTCAGTGGTTAAGCATGTGGGCTTTGGAATCATTCCCCTGGGTTTGAATCCTGACTTTGCCCTTTATTGTCTGTACGAGTTGTGTCTTCTCTGTACCTAGTCAGGATGTCTCTTGCATTGCAACAAACTACCCCAAAATTTGGTGACTTAAAAACTTATTTTCTCAGGGTGTCTGGGGGGCTCAGTCAGTGAAGCGTCCAACTTCGGCTCGGGTCATGATCTCACGGTTCGTGAGTTCAAGCCCTGCATTGGGCTCTGTGCTGACAGCTCGGAGTCTGGAGCCTGTTTCAGATTCTGTGTGTGTCTCTCTCTCTGCCCCTCCCCCACACATGCTCAGTTTCTCTCTGTCTCAAAAGTAAACAAACAAAAATTTGTTTTTAAAAAATGTATTATCTCTCACAGCTTAGTGGGCCAGGAATTCAAGCAGAGCTTCACTGGGCAGTTCTTCAGCCCCACGTGACAGTCCCCTGCAGGCGGGGGCTGGTCTTGAGAGTTAGGTGTGGCTCTGCTGTCTGGTGGCTGGAAGGCTGGGCTCAGCTGAGTCCTTCTCGGGTGCCACGTGCTCTCCAGTCGGGTGCCTTACAGCCGACTTGGACCTCCAGAGTCTCTGTTCCAGGAGACAGACAGTGGCAGGTGTCAGACCCAGAAGTGAGCAGGGCTTTGCACCCTCACTCTTGCCTGCTCAGATTCAAGGCGGGAGAGACCTAGATCCCACCTCCCCTGGGGAGGAATGTCAGAGTTGTAGCCATCTTTAATTGTCCAGGTGCCTCCCCGTCCTCATCTATAAAATAAGAGTGGTAGTTATCTTATAGTTATTGGGAGAATTGAATGAGATGAACTGACTATGAGATGAGCACAGAGATTGAAAGAATACGTGTAAAGGGTTCAGAATAGTGCCTGGCATGTTAGAAGCATCTTGTAAATATGTGACGTTTATTATGACTGTTCTTAGGTACATGATGCACCGTTATTTACCCTTGTCATCCCTAAACACATGAGGAATATAAGATACAAATTCTTCCAGAGCCCTCTCTAATCTCGTTGGGCAGGTACAGAATTGACATCATGAAGCCATTAGACAACCATACTGAGTAGTGCAGAATAGTTACGATTTTCACAGCGTAAATTGTACAACAGTTTATAACTGTGTGTGTTACTTCTGTATAGCTGGCAAATGTCTATAGATTGAGAACATTTGCGACATTTTAACGTTAACGTCTATAGAGGAAGGTTTTGTGTTGTATTTTTAGTGTCCTTTTTCTCACGGGACGTAGCATAGCATAAGAGCTTGGGCTCCAGGGCTAGGAACCGGCTCTAAATCCTGCCTTTGGAACACAGGATCATTAAAACTCCCCATTTTGTAATTTCCTCTCTTCTAAAAGGCTGATAATAGAGTTCTTGTAGCATTATTGGAGTTAATGGATGGAATGTGCTTAGTGTAGTTCCTGGCCCGTAAATAGTGCATGATAGGTAATAAGAAAAAGCTAATAATCCTTTTCTGTTCAAGCAACTGATGGGGCAGGGGTAGGTAACTGAGGACTCTATCGTCTGGTGTCCAGTACCCTTGAGGATTCAGCCCGGGACACTGCCCCACCACCTGACCTAATGCTTCCCTTTCTGTATTCTTGCTCTGGGCGATGCTATCCTCTCCCCGTGCTTTAGCGTTGCTCATTATAGATGACATCATCTCTAGTGCTAGTTTTCTCTGAATCCCACCCTGATCTCAAACCAGGAGATCATGCCAGTACCCGAAGCTTTATGTGTCAGAAACTAAGCTTTCCATGAAGAAATAAGGGAACCAGAATAAGGTGTAGAGCTGAGGGTGAGTTTTAGAGATTCAAAATGGAGGGGAGGGGTCTAAAGTGGAGATGGTTAGCAGAAAGTTGGACATTTGGAGCTAGTGGCCAGAGCGCAAGTTTCACATTTTGGAGTTGTCTGCTTAGAGCAGATGAAGGCCAGGAATACATGTGATTTTCAAGGGAATAAGAAGAGGGCCCAGGGGCTGAGTCTTAAGGGACATTAACGTTTGGGGGCTCGCAGAAGAGGTCATACAGCCTAGAGATGGAGCAGATCGGGGACTTCGTAAGAGGAAGGGCCCTGGGGAGGCAGGTGCGTCGAGATAGAGGTGGGCGGAACGCACGCTACACACTAGCCAAGGAGCGGCTCCTGTGGCGTGTGTGTGTCCGCACGGGGAGAATGCAGCAAGACGCGAGGTGGCAGAGTCCTCAGAAAGCAGAGAGGGGTGTGGAGTTGCTGTTTTGAGACGCGAATACACGTACCTCGAGGCAGGGTTTTGTTGTCCTGGTTTCTTTTGCTTTTTTTCAACATGGGGCAATCTTGGTGTGTTTGCAGGAACTGGTGAGCCAGCTGGGGACAGAGTGAAGCAGTGGAAAAGCCGAGAGTGAAGCCTTCTGGGGGAGGCAGGCGGTGGGGGCAAGAGGAAGAGGGAAGCTGGCTTTGCGAAGCAGAAGGCACACTTCATCCTGGGAGGCTGAAGGGACTGAGCGAGGGAGGAGAGAGAAATTTGGAATTAAGAAAGGAATTCAAAGGCACTCAGGTTATATCAAATTATCTGTGGACTCAACCTTCTTCGTGAAGTCAGGGTCACAGTCACTTGTGTGGAAATGAAGAGAAGGGAAAGGACCTAGAAGAGGAGCTGTGGGGGTGGGGGGTGGGGGGTCAAAAAGAGGGGGTCAGACCTCACTGACCGTTGTTCATCAGCAACAGAGGTTCGGTAGCCTGGGTCTTCATGAGCGAGTACCTGCTCTGTGCCGCGCAGCGGTGAGTAAGGCGGCGCCCTTGGAGCTCACAGCAGAGCTGCAAACCCAGGCAACGGAGTGTAAGGATACGTCATCTCAGGGGAGCACATGCTGGGTGCTGTGGGGTCGCAGGGGAGGGACCCCAGACTTGCGGGAGCACTGGGGAAGAAGGAACATGTTTCAGATGGCAGGAAAGGCTTCCCAGAGATGATGACGGCTCAGCGGAGCCCTGATGTCTGGAAGGCTGGAGAGGCCAGTGTAGATAAAGTATTCCCAGGACAGGAAGTATCAGAACCCAGGGCTTGCTGGGGAGAGAGCAAGGCAGGGCCCTGTACTCTGCCTGCCCCGCCGCCACCTGGATGCTTACAGTGCAGATGCCTAGGCCCCACACGAGGCCACACAAGACTCTCAGCTGACCTCCAGGAACTGGGACTTTTCACAGGAGCCATTGCTCCACACGCCTGCCCAGGCCGACTTCGTTCCTGCCCCCGACTTCTCTGCTGTCAGCGTGTCTCACCTGACTGTGCCCTGGCGTGGACCCGTGCCTGACTCTCCTGTGCATTCCGGTGTCTGTCTACATGTAGTATTTGTGTAGTTGTGCGCCGTGTACTTCTGTGTGTGTTTGTGTTTCCTTTACTAGAATTTAAGCTTTGTGAGGGCAGGGATTTGGTGTGCATGTTCGTTGCTGTGGCCCTGGGACCTGGACATGGGGATGTTGAAGAGACAGGAAAGCTTTGTATGTAAGACAGGGCTTCCCATCTCGTGCAGAGTCTCACGGTCGGGTTTAAAAGGCCTGTAAGATTCTGCATGGTCTGACCCCCTCCCCTTCTTTCTCTGTCACTCATACGTGCACGCACACACAGTCACGCACACACACGCATGCACGTCGTGTCCTCTCACTCGCCTGGCTTCAGCACTCTCAAATTCAGCAGGTGCCTTATGCGTTCTAGAACGTCCGTGCAGGGCGCCTGCAAGACAGGGCTGCGCTGAAGCAGCAGCCCGCCGGAGAGGCCAGAAGGGCAAACGAGCAGACGTGCTGCTTTGTGATACCTTTTTTATTATTGTCTAGTGGTGTTCGTTAATTTATTTTGGCTTACACCTTATCTCCGCAGGTAAGTTCCTAATTTTCCTCAGGTAATTCGGCGCCCCACATATAGGTGCTCAGTAAATACAGACTGATCTTATCCACTTGGCTTTTTTCTAACCTTCCGAGTGTTTACATGTTTTTTGTTGAATTATTGCAGGGTAGAAACGAGAGGAATGCGTACAGCGTTATGGTGGCCGTATTCGGCATTCGCCCTGCCACGTTCTGTGGCTCTTCAGATAGCTTAGCGCTCTCGTTCCTCAGCCACACCAGTCACATTCCACGCGCTCAGGGCCCCCAGGCGGCCTGCGGCTCCTGCAGCAGACAGTGTAGATACGGAACTTGTGCATCCCTGCAGAGCCTTCTGCGGAGCGGCATCTAGATGCTTAAGGCCCAACGTTTTTATGGATTTTGTTGGCCGGTTTGAAGGAGCCAGGACTGAACGGCGGGCCACCCGCGAGTCCTGGTGCACATGGCTCCGGTCACATCGCCGGTTCACCGTCCACCTCGTGCTCTCCCTGCAGGTGCCCGCGGCGGAGCATGGACCCGCTCGCTGCCCACAGCCGCCACCTCCTCCAGCAGCTGCACGAGCAGCGCATCCAGGGCCTGCTTTGCGACTGCATGTTGGTGGTGAAAGGGGTCTGCTTCAAGGCGCACAAGAACGTTCTGGCGGCGTTCAGTCAGTACTTCAGGTGCGTGTCCTAGACTTTGTTCTTGTGACCGCGTGGAGGAAGAGCTCTTCTAGCGTGGGTATATTTTGACTAAATTTATTTTCTCCTTGGATTTCACCGTTCTCACCTCTTGTAGTGCTTGGTGGATTTTTTGCTTTTTTTGTCTTTAGAGCAACCTGAGAGGAAAAGAGCTTTTTACCTAAAAACTCTTTGGGCAGATTGAAAGTATTTTGGCACTTTGTCTTTGATTTTAGCAGTTGTAATTAATGTCCATTTTCTCTATGTATTTCTTAAGCTTTCATGGTAAAAAGATTGAGGAATAGAATTCCTGGTAAGAGCTTTCTTGTGATAAGAAATGGAAGTGGGGAAAACGCCCTATGTACTATTTTGTTATTAAAATGTTTTAGTTTTTGTTTTTCTTTGGAATATTATAGAAAACAGATTTGAACTCAATCTATTTCTTCCTATGATCATTTTTAGATTATTAGACATTATTAGAGTTCAGTGTCCTACATACATTTTCTGGTTAGCTGAGATGTATCTCTCTGTAAGCACTGAAGCTTTTGGGGGGGGGTACCTTTTTTTCCCTTAAAATGCATAACGTTTTATTGCTCTAGTAAACGGTGCATGGAGCCTGATCTAATCTTCCCATCGAACTCACCCTCTGCTATCATGGATGCTCTAAGCACACGTTATAGTGAATGGGTCCGCTCACCGAGGTGGTCAGCACCTCTGCCCCGTGCAGCCTGGTCTCAGACCCCACTTCCCCTGCCCTGTTTTAATTAGTACTTCCCTGAGGCAGGAACAGAGGTGAAGGCTATTTTGGGGAAGCAGGTGATTAGATTAGAGAAAATGTCCACAAACTTGCAAAAGACCATTCACCTGACCCAGCGTGGTAGTTTCCATGCAGTACAAACCCTGTCACCTGGAACTTGACGACATCTATGCAGAATAAAGTGCCGGGGCTTCATGGCACCCCTTTCCCTCGCTAACTCACAGGGCTTTTCTTTTCCTCACTGCTGGCTTGTGGGCCACTGGGGTTGCAGAGAAACCTCTAACAGATCTGGGTACAAAGTGAGCTTATGTCAAGTATGTAGAGTTGTCAGATTCCCAGACAGAAGGTAGCATGGCGGGTGCAAGGGGCAGGGCAATAGAGCCTGGTTGTTTCATGGGGATAGAGTTTCGGTTTGGGAAGATGAAACGTTCTGGAAATGGATGTGCTGCTGCTGGCACTGTGGTGTGGGTGCACTCCATGCCGCTGGCTTTACCGTTGGAACTATGTTTAACACTTTCAGCCACCTGAAAATGGGTCAGATGGTAAACATTGTGTATACTTTGCCACAATTAAAAAAACTAAAATTAAAAAAAGAATGAGTATCGAGTGTTGGTTTGTTATAGCTATCTTTATTTTTAGACATTTTTAAGGCACTTAGAAATGGGAATATTTTTGTTACGTGTTTTATGGCCTGAAATAGAATTTGCCAGACTAGACATGAAATGCTGAAAAATGTGTGTCCTTTAGTTTGCTTTACTCTATGTGTATGCAGTTAATAATCCACATGGATAATTATATTTTGAACAGAACAATGAGTATATTTCAGAATCTTACTCTGAGATCTGTTTGGAAGGTTGCATATCCAGCACACTAAGTTAATTCATCTGAACTGCTTCATTGGACAGCCTGCCAACATGTTTTAAAGGATTTAAATATGCTTAATTTAAAAATCGTGGCATTTAGGGGCCCCTGGGCAGCTCGGTTGGTTGAGCATCCCGCTCTTGATTTCAGCTCAGGTCATGATCTCAGGGTCATGGGCTTGAGCCCCCCACTCAGCACGGAGCCTTCTTAAGATTCTCTCTGCCTCTGCCCTTCTCCCCCCTCGCATTCTCTCTAAAATAAAATGAATAATGAAAAATTAATAAATCTTGGCATTTACGGAAGGGTAGTATTTTTGAATATTAATGTGAGCATGATTTATAAGAAAAAACTACCATACTATAAACAGATATCCTTTCTTTTATCAGGAGCCTCTTTCAGAATTCTTCAGGCCAAAAAAGTGATGTTTTTCACCTGGATATTAAAAACGTAAGCGGCATTGGGCAAATCCTGGACTTCATGTACACATCCCACCTGGATCTTAACCAGGACAACGTGCAGGTGGTGCTGGACATAGCCCAGTGTTTGCAGGTTCAAAACGTCCTGAATCTGTGTCACTCGTTCTTAAAATCGACCGCAGTGGACCAGCCCCCGGGCATGGCCTGCACCAGTACTTTCTCCCTGCAGAGCACTCTGGCCGCCGACACCAGCTGTGTCGTAAACGACACCTACCCTCCTCCTTTGCTGCCAGAGTGTCCCGCGGACGTCCAGCAGGGTAGAGCTTTGGAGGAGTCCCAATCGCCTGCTCCTCCGGCGGTCAGTCTTCATCACCCTGCGGGCGAAGCGTCCAAACAGGCGCCCGACCCACTAGAGGGCGGCTGTCCGGAGCTGCCTTCCAGACAGGGTTACTACTACAAACTCAGAAACTTCTACAGTAAGCAGTACTATAAACACACTGCGTGTCCCGGTCACGGCCATGGTCACGAGAGGGCGAGCGAGCCACCTTGCCCGTTCAGCGCGTCCCCGGACCTCAATGCCGGGGAGCCTCAGGCCTGTGCCGCCACTCACTCCCAGTGTGACTCCCGGTGTGTCCTGGAGTCCCACCTGGCCCCGCCCCTGAGCGAGGTGACCCCAGGCCCTGAGTCCCACGGCCCATGCCCGCCGCCTGCCAAACAGATGAGGCTCAAAAAGGCGATTCACCTGAAGAAGCTGAACTTCCTCAAGTCCCAGAGGTTGGCAGAGCCGGAGTCTGAAGCCACTCCAGGTGACGGTGTGACAGAGAGGCTGGACGCTGCCCGCGCAGACACTCTGCAGGCAGCCAGCAGCCGCGGTGCTGAAGGAAGAGGCGATGAGGAGCTCATCGGTGCCGAGCACTTGGACTGCGTGAACGACGCGGAGCGGCCCGAAGAACCCGCGGCCCTGGAGGGCCCGGCCCCGGCGCTCCAGTCCCAGAGGCAGTACGCGTGCGAGCTGTGCGGGAAGCCCTTCAAACACCCCAGCAACCTGGAGCTGCACAGGCGGTCTCACACAGGTACACTGACTCGGTGCCGCAGGCAGAGGGAAGGACGTGACGTGGACGCCCGACACCACTGCCGGCTCCTGCTTTTGTAAGAGGTTTTGCTGTTGTGCGACGATGTCATTGATAACCCCCAGGAGACCAGGGACGTTTTTGGGGATCACCCTTAACCACCTCAGAGCTCTGTAGATGCTCTGGCTGAGCCAGTTTACAAAGATGGCACGCTCTTCATTTTTAATTATGGCTCTGTAGCACAGACCGCCCATCTTTGAGGAAGGGCAGCACGTTGTTCTGACACCCTAAAAATTCCACATATGCCCTAGAACGGCTGAGTCCTATTCGCTCTTTAGAATTAGACGAACTTTATTTTTTTTAAAGCCTGATGTAGGTTCATCCAGACCAAAATAACTGAGGGAAATAGTGAAAGGTCTCTGGGAAGCCCAGTGAATGTCAGAGTTTTTAAAATTGTGGTTTGGAAGGAAGAGGTAAACTTTTGAATAAGGATCAGCTTTACCCATTTGATGTTTTCCAGTGATCATTCTTCCATGTTGAACATTGAGTTTTCAGAGGCTTAGTACCTTAATTCATACCTCGCCCTTTTTCCCAAAGTTTATTTTTTTCCAGATGCTCCTTTAAAAGTGTCCCGTAGCACATAGTGCCTTCTGTTATGCGGTACTTCCGGTACCTCCCTTCCTGCAGTGAAACTTGGTGACCCCGGCACACATAACGACAGCCCTTACAGGCCTGAGGGGTGGTGCTGACGGGCACTTACAGCGTGTCTGCTTTGAAAGTGCTCACGTCCTTGTGATTATCCATGTGCCGTTCTGTCACCCTTTGGATTGCCTATGTGCTCTGGTGTTAGCGACCTCGTTCTCTCATTGAGAGACCTAATACATACGGCAGCCCTTTGTCAGTTTTCATGTATTTGACCACAAAGTGCTTCCATTGGTGGTAGTAGTTCAGAGTTATTTTATAGGAAGGCAGTATCGTTGACTCAGTTTTGCCCTGAAAAAGCACGATGTAGACCACTCTGTTTGCTTAAGTTTCCTAGAGCCTAACAATCATAATAATTTTTATTTGAGAGCATATCTGCATAACTTTAAAGGAAACAGATTACATTGTTTGTTCTGAAGGGACATCTTCAGATGCAGGTGGTCGCACAGCTGGGGCACAGGGGTTTACTGGGACGGAAGTTGGGAAGGCGCCAGTTCCCCGGTTATGGCCTGGGGAACTATTTCTGGGGGTCCGTGAGGCCAAAACTCTTTCCATCAGAGTCTGGCCCCCCCGTCCTGCTCACACAAGTCCGCTAAAGGCAGTGGCTGGTGAGATGTCTGGTGGTATATTCCAGAAGTCACTGTTTTCATTTCTGATACGGGCCGAACCTACAGACACAGCCTAGGTAAACCAAAGCTCTTTCGGGTCCTCAGTTACTCAGAGCGTGAGGGGCCCTGAGAGCCGAGAGGGAGGCCCCCTGATGTAGGGGGATTGGCCCTGGTCACTTGTGAGTCTTGGCAGCTGGTGACCTTTTTTTTCAAACTGTTGTAGCTCACTTCATATCCTCCATCTTCCCCGTAATTTCATATGTAAACGTAGTCACCAAATACAGGATTCGTGTGACTATGGTTACCCAGGGCCAGAGCTTGCGCCTTGTCCTTGAGGAAGCCGTTGAACAGTTTTAGGAAATCGTCCAGTGTGAAAATATCCTGGCGGGAGCTCAGAGAGCTAGCGAGCTGGCAGACCGTAGCACACAGTAAGCAGGGAAATGCTAATTTTTTAAAAAAGAATCTTAAACCACTTGATTTGAGGGGAATGGGGAAGAAGGACAGTTCTTGGTCTTCAAAGCGTCATTGGGTTTTACAGGCCAAAGGTGGCACCTTGAGGTACGCTTTTCCCGTTCTCGACAGTGTGTCACACTGCTGCGGCCTCCTTGCGTGGCGCCTGCTCTCCCCGTCTGTGCTGTGCCAGGGTGCAGACGCGGGCAGCGGGCCGGAAGGCGCACCTCCCTGCCCAAGTGTCCTTGCCCCCGTTAGTGCGTGTCGGCCACTGAAGCCAGTGAGGAGGGCTCTGCCCCGGCACTCTTGAAGATCCCCCCCCACCACGTGTGTACTCCTCGTGGGGTGTGGACGAGGCTCCCTTGCTGGTGTAAAGGAGTCAGGCTGAAGGAGAGGGCAGCAAGCCACCGCTGCCTTCCAGGCGGCACAGTCAGGAGGATGTGGGGACTCTGCCACGGTCGCTCTAGAAGGTACCAGAAGGTGGCGCTCTCTTCTGTAAGGGCAGCGGAGATTGTTTAAACATTTTAAACAAAATTATGGTGCAAATATGCCTAATGATTTTACAAGTTGTTATTTTGTTCTGTTTCAGGTGAGAAACCTTTTGAATGTAACATTTGTGGGAAACATTTCTCTCAGGTGGGAATACTCTTATTTACTGTTAATAATTGGAAACCTGAAACCCAGTGTTTTTTTTTTAATTATTTATTACAAATAAGACATACACTTGGACTTCTGAGAGAAGCCTTTCATGGTGTCTGTAACTTTGACTTCACACTAAAGCAGGAGAAAATAATTTCTAAGAAACATACATTTTAGGTGTTAAGTCATTAGGGGACAAACAGCATTTTTGGTAAGTGTGTGAACTCACTGCCCTCACCTGACCCCACTAGGGTCCAATCCTAGTATGTGTCTCCTCTTTCGTGAATGAGGTTTCCGGAAACTGCAGTGTGCGCCCACGCAGTGATGCTGGAGGCCACGCCGGGCAGCATCCAGGACAAATGTCCCCTTCCTCCTGCCAGCACGTCAGTTGTTAGGATGCGGGGAACACAGCAAGCAATTCTCATTCCTGCTTGGACTGCCTTTCAGCTGACCCCTGTTCAAGGTCATTTGGACACGTATGAATTCCCTCATCCCGCCTGTGTTTGCTGCTCCTTCGTAGGGCTGCCTGTCGATCTGGGCACTGGATGTAAAGAAACCTAGAGATTTAATGTCAGAGGAAATTCCAAACGTGGACCGGTGGGAAGCCACTTCTGAGATAGAAGGAAGTCCCTGCTGCTCCTCCACGTGCGGGCACTGGCGTCTCGAGGGTGAGCGAGGCCGGCTGCGCGGCCCGCGCACAGGCCCGCGGGGGAGACCACCACGGCATGGCTGTCTGTCCTTCCACCGGCAGGCATGGTAGATCGGTCACAGCCGGGGCAGACGCTGTCTCCTGGGCCGGGCACTGACCCAGGAGCCCTCCGGGCAGTGAAGCTGGCAGCAGTGCTCCCCATCTTTTGACACATTCCCCATGGAGCCAGCTCTCCAGTGTCCCCTTCCTCTTCCCCCCCAAACCTGTGCCCTCAGGGACTTCTCACGTCCCCTGCCACATGCCTGCAGGGATCCACTGAGTCCAGTCCCCTTCCATTGCGTCTTTAGTCCCTGCCGTCCAGAACGCTGGTGCCCACTCCGCATCCAGAAGTTTCTGCAGAAGCGAGGGGAGTCCTCTCTCTAGCTGCCAGTCACTCGAGGCCTCGCGGCTTCAGTGCAGCCTCACCTGGGCTGCTGAGCCGGGGCTGTGGCGACGACGGGCAGTGTGGACTCGGACCCCGCCCCTGGCCTGCTGCTCCGTGCCCTCGGGCGAGCCACCCCCCACTTTGGCATGTCAGCTTCGTGGTCTGTAAAACCAGGGAGGGAGAGGACTGCGCCTGTGGAGTGTGTGGGGAGTCGGTAGGAGTAAGAACTTCCTGCCTGGCGCGTAGTTCCTGCTCAGGGGGTGTCGTCATCTCCCGTCCCGGGGCCGCCCTCTCTGATCCTGCACACCCGTCTTCCCAGGGTGCTCGCCCCCCACCATTTTAACCTCACAGCTTTGCAGTGGGCAGAGCCAGAGACGTGGACTCGTGACTGTTAACGATCAGCAGCCGTCACTCCCTGACCCTCGGTTTCCTACATCCTGAGTCAGGGACTCTATTCCTCTGCAAATGTCAGGAGGAGGGGGTGAAACGATGGACACACAAGCCCTTCGGACGTTTAAAATGTGATGACTGTTCAGGGTCTGTCCCCTGCTCACTTGGCATCCTTCCATGACCCTTCACTGCCAGTCAGGGAGAACCGGACATTGAAGCGCGTGTAGTCAGCCTCCCGCCTCATCTCCCCGAGTAGACGGCAGGCCTGGCCTCCAGGGCCTCTGGTTCTGTCGCGCTGGGGTGCGGCTCGAGTGCAGGGGTGAGTCACTACCACGATTTGGAAGCATAGCTGAGGTAGAGGACCACTGCTCAGGCCTCGCCGTGCACTGCCCTCTGGAGTCCTCTCAAGGTGGCCCTGTCTGATGATAGACACTCCTGAAATCGTCCTCTGCTGGGGCCTGTGTGTTGTCGGATTTTTGTGAATGTTGGATTACGTACACTTGCAGTTTTCAGATGCCCCTTCCCCATAGTGGAACTGTGACGTTCTTCGTGAACAAAGACTTCTGTTTAAAAACCACTCAGCAAGCATTTGTTGCAAGCGTGGAGTGCCCAAGGAGCTCTGCCGTGTGCTGGGGAGATCTGCATAGAGAATAGCGTAGGGAACAGCATGGGCGAAGACTAGCGAGTGCTCGTTTCTGCCTGGAAGAAGTGGTGTTCGGGGTGTGTGATGACGTGAAATATGTTAAGAGATTGCCCAGGTGAGCCCCGAAGACAGGCAGGCATTGATAAGCCTGGGGGTGTCTGGCATTCCAGGTTGAGAAAGCTGTCAGGTTGTTGGTACAGGGATACTCTCTCTGTAAGAAGTCCCCAGTAACCATCCTCCGCCTTAGGGCAGCATTCATCTTGAGAATGAGCTGGAGTACATATTTGCAGTTACAGGGGGTTGGAATGCTCCCATGCTGTTGCTGGAATGTTTGCTCCGGTAGAAGGGAGTTTGTAAATATTTTCCCTTCTGGAAGACTTGAAAGTGAGAAAACGGATTCACCAATGAGAATTAATCTTGTAATGCTGTTCACTCAATTTATGTTTAGTAGAATCAGTGTTGGGGGCGGGGAGTTACCCATAACCTTGATGATGAGTCCGTAAGCAGAATGATACATGAGCTTTTTGCAAAGCTACCGTAACCCGAGACTGTGACAACAGACGGCACCTGTTGATATGGTGCCGGACACGGTCCGTGCACGGATCTCATCACTGGTGAGCCCCGCACACGGCAGAGAGTGAGTGAGGCTCTGTGCAAAGTGCTGGGCCTGTGTGTGTGGACTGGAACCCAGCCGCACAGGAGCACCCGGAGAAGTGAGGTCGGGGCAGGCCTGGAATACCTGTGACGTGAGGAATAGGAAGAAGAAACCTTGTGCACTGAGCTGTCTTTGGGAGAGGAGCAGAGTTGTGACATCTGTCCTGAGAGGCAGGAATGCAAGCAGAGTGGCTGGTGCGGTGCCTCCTGGAGAGGGGAGCCCCATGTGCGGGACACGAGTGAGAGGGCACAGTGATGCGTAGGAGACGGGGGTGCTCCCCCGGGCACGGACACGGCCTGACGCCACAGCTGGCAGGGTTTGGCCGCATCCATGGGGAAAATGCAGGAATAAGAGTATTTTAATGAACTTTTCCTAAGTTACTGAACTCTGAGCTCTGAGGTGGTGGTCACTCCCCGTGTAAATGCCCCGCTGTCCGTAAGATGATCAAAAGATGATCACTGTTGTTTAGGTGACATCTCTGTTAATCTCCAGGGGGGTTTTCCCTGTTAATTTTTATTATTTTGTGAAATCCTGAAGTCCCAAAACTCCTGAACTAGGTGACTTTTAAGCTCTGACATCCCTTTTATCTCCAAAATGGTATGATTCCGCAGCTGTTTTTTTTTTTTATGAATAATAGCTGCCATTGGAAAAGTGTTCTTATGGAGAGGATGAGCTCAGTTTGCTCCTGTCTAAATGCTCATGTCCACATCCCTGTTAGAAGGGGTTTATTTTTTTAATTCCTCAGATCAGATGCTAGTTCTTCTCTACAGCAGTTTTTCTGTTCAAAATTCTGACAGCTCCCTCCTTTAAAATATTTGCTTAGACAGAGCAGAGCGTCCTTTACCGCTCGTGTTCTTTAACACAGACAGCCCAGCAATGCTGCAGGCTTCCGAGTCCGCAGACCTGAGTCAGGATATTCGATCCCAGCCGCAGGAGCCCAGGCTGATGACCTCCCCCCCGGAGCCTCAGTTTGCTCTTCCATAGACCGTGATGCCACTACTTTAGAGGGGATTGAGGCTGGGTGACACGTGGTCTGCAGCTTCTCAGTGCTCCATTCCTGGTAACCGCCTCATCCATCGCGGTTGCTATTGTTGCCACTTGCTAGAGTGGTTTGCTGCGTGATTTGGCATAAATTATGGAATGCATCATTGGACTTTTTTTACCCGAATCCTTCGGTATCTGCTCTGCTTTCCTGCCGTGGGCCAGATCAATGTGTGCTCCTTTATCTGCGGGACGATCTTCATGATCCATTTCTAATACTAAATAGCTTAAAAAAAAATTTAGGAGGTCGTTTTAATATTGCTCATTATACTCTTCTACGTGGAAGACCTTTTGATTATGCTTGCTTTGGAAACGAGTGATTGTGACACTTCAGTTAAAAAGAAAGGGTTCCAGTGCCACTATGCATGGACTCCGAGAATGCCTTTCAGTCTTGATACATCATTTACAAAATAGCTTAAAAAAGAAGGACCTAATTTAACAGATGAGCAGATGGTGCTATTCAAATTGTTATATAATTGATGAGCTTTTCTGGGATTTGGAAGTGACTAACTTAAAACAGCCTGTGGTGCATTCTCTTACCTCCCGGGAGCTGTTTCCCCAACAGTCAAGCAGCTCTTGTACGGAATCGTCAACACAAGCCGGTTTATTCACAGCAAGGTGTGAGAGTTCAGACTCCCACAAACCCACGTTACTTTCTGGCCCAGCTGTGTATCAGCAACAGCTACTTTACCTATTTGTCTGAATCTGAGCTTTTCATCTAGAAAAGAGATACATTGCTACCAGTTACTTACTAAGAATAGTTTGGTGATGCACGTAAGGGCAGGCCGACCAAACGTATATGGCTGTTGATATTTGTTGTTTTACTATTGTTGTCAATAGTCATTGTGTTAAAAGCTAGGTATTTACCAGTGTTTTGCCAAATTCTTCCTCTTTAGTTATCTGGAATAAACCTGAGTTTTCCCTAAGTCGTATTTATCATATTCTGAAGTGTCTAACCCCGTGCTTTCCCCGAGCCTGACACACGGAATCTCTGTGCTCCGTGATACAAAATCCACAGACCACACTTTTTTCACTTGTAAGTTTCCGCTCACAAGCAGACTCAGACCATCTTCAAACCTATAATCATGAACTGTCTGCACTTTATTTAACACCCAGTTTGCAGACTTACAAAGCCAGAGTGGTTCGTTGGCTATTACTGTTCATTCCCTCCTTTTGGCTTATTTTGCACATAATGCCTGCACGTGATTACCCTTGGGCACATTCATTCATTTCAGTGTTTTTATAACCAAACACTATAAAAAATTAGAAGGGGAAATGAGAGATTGAGTCTATTAAATTCCGGCAGTGGAGAATTTTATTTTCAAATCCTAATTTGAAACGTTAGCCAGGAGCTTTTTTACTATGAGGCGATTAGTTTTAATTTTAGTGTCCTTTAGGCAAGTTAATATTGATTTCCTATTGATTATTGCATGGAAATCTATTTGCAATCTCCATTTAAATAACTCTTTGTGAAGCCCTGCTAGTTTCAGCAGTTAGGAACATAAAAGGCCCTGCAGCCAAATGGCTACTGTGAGTCTCCTAATTCGCATTTTTGCACAAAGGTAAAAGAAAGGACACCCCAGTCAGGCAGAACAGCTGTGCTCCCAGAGGAAGTCTTACCTTCTTTATGAACAAAAGCATGTTTTTAAAAAATAAACAAGGAATCCTGAAATAACCAAGTACAGATGCTTTGTTTCCAAGCGATCCCTGTATGTAGACGGTCCAAGTTAATAACAAACACCAAGTAAGGGCACCTGGGTGGCACAGTCTGTTAAGCATCCAACTTCAGCTCAGGTCATGATCTCATGGTTCGTGGGTTCAAGCCCTGCATCGGGCTCTGTGCTGACAGCTCAGAGCCTGGAGCCTGCTTCGGATTCTGTGTCTCCCTCTTTCTTTGACCCTCCCCTGCTCACACTGTCTTTCTCTCTCTCTCTCTCTCTCAAAAACAAAACATTTTTAAAAATTAAACACCAAGTAAAGCGTACTGAGGTCTGTTTGAAGTACAAACTTAGCAGCCCCCACGGCGTGCAGGGCCCACGGATGAGGGAAGCAGCACAGTGCGTGCTCGTGAGGTGACAGGCCAGGGGCTCACGTGGAGCGCCGGGGTCAGAGGCCAGACACAGGGGCATCCATGCGGTCTGCAGATTGCTGGCAGGTCCAGTCCCGTGCTCCTCACCCAGCAGCTGGACCAGGGCCTGGCTCAGTCTGTCCGTTTTCCTTTTGAATTCGCAGAGCCTTCAAGAAAACTTTTCATTGCTGGTATGCTTTTTCTCCCCCCTCTCTTCCAGGCGGGTAACTTGCAGACTCACTTACGTCGGCACTCGGGTGAGAAACCATACATCTGCGAGATCTGCGGAAAGAGGTCAGTGCTGGGCTCGTTCCTCGGCTTATAAACAACTCGAGTCTTTTTTTTTTTTAATTTTTTAATGTTTATTTCTGAGAGAGACACACACACACACACACACACACACACACACACACAGCAGGAGCAGGGGCAGGGCCGAGAGAAAGGGAGACGCAGAATCTGAAGCAGCTCCATGCTCCCAGCTGTCAGCACAGAGCCCAACGCGGGGCTCGAACTCGTGAACTGGGAAGTCATGGCCTGAACCGAAGTCGGACACCCAACTGACTGAGCCACCCAGGTGCCCCACTCTTGTCTGTCTGTGACTTCAGTGTTCTCTGGGCCACCTGTGGTCTCACCCCCGTAGCTAAGGAACGCAGGTAAAGTCAAACCCTCCAGCTTTTCCGTAACAAAAAGAAAGAGAAATGTTCACTAAGAGAAAGAAAATCTAGGACACAGAGCCTTAGGAAATGGGATTTTACATGAAACAAAATTATAGTAAAATTTCCGTTCATTCCAAGAACGTCTGTTAACATAGATCATTGTCCCCCTGGAGGTGACTGTCGTGTAGGGAATGAGACTTGCAGCCACAAAGCCTGAGCATCAACGGACGGGGTGGCTGGAAGGGCCCGGAGCTGATCAGAAACAAGCCTTGAGAGCTCGGCAGTGGGAGGGGCCTTCGCGAGTCTGGGCAGGGCTTTGACCTGCGACTGAGTCGCGGTGGGGACCCTCCTGCCCTTGCTGGGCTGCTTGTCTGGAGTCTACACGCTTTCAGCAGGCACCAGCCACAGCGCCTCAGTCATTTATTTATTTGACCAATATTTATTTGGCACCTGCTGTATGCTAAGTGCTGTGATGGGAACATAAACAGTACAGGGGCCCCTGAGTGATGTGGTAGGTTACGCATCTGCGTCTTGATCTCATCTCAGGTTTTGATCTCAGGGTTGTGGGTTCAAGCCCCACAGTGGGCTTCACAGTGGGTATAAAGCCTACTTTTAAAAAGAGAAGAAAATTAAAAAGCAGTAGAAGTTCTGCCTGCAATAATTGCATAGCCAAGAGCGGTGGGCAGAGATGGCTTTGAGGATGGTTAAAGTCAAGTCCTCCAGGGTAGCATGCAGCGCGGGCTAGTGACCCTGGCGGAGGAGGCGCGGGCAAACCGCTGTCCCTGCCGATGGGAGAAGACACAGAAAAGAAAGCTGCCTGGCTTCGCACGCCTCCTCCCACCGCCTTCAGTGCGGGGTATCGCACGCCCCTCCGGTGAGCTCCGGTGTGAGCCCCCTGCCGCTTCCGACGGTGTCACTTCGCCTTGGCCTTGTCTACACCATGGGTTAAATACGAGCCTTTGCATTTAAAGTCACGTCTACACACATCTTTTCCCACATGGAGTCAGTTCTCCAGTGACGTGGGAGGGGACGAGGCCTAGGTTTCCGTGTCTGAGTCCGGGTGGGGCTCTCCCGGAGCCAGCATGGTGACTGCCTCTGAGGAAGAAGAGTCACAAAACCAGGTAGGGAAAACGGTCATTCAGAACCAAAACACTTGCATCATTTCCTACGTTCTCCTAAGAAAGAGAAAAAAGTAAAGTATTTTAAAAACGCACATTTCAGATGAAGCCAGGCCGCAGGTGGCTGCGTTGTGAAGGGCTGCGGGGGGTGGCCCGTCTCCCTTAGTGACTTGCGCTTGTAAAGATTTGCACTAACGTAGAAAGGAATTCTTAATGGAGCTTCCGAATGTCGTGACAGGTTTGCAGCCTCTGGGGACGTCCAGCGCCACATCGTCATTCACTCGGGAGAGAAGCCACACTTGTGTGACATCTGTGGGCGAGGTACTGCTGGCTGTTTGCCTCCTCTTCCTCGAAGACCACTGACGAAAATGCCCTCGGTCCTTGAGCCGAACGCTTGTTGTGGTCTCTCTAGGGTTTAGTAACTTCAGCAACCTGAAGGAGCACAAGAAGACACACACGGCGGACAAAGTCTTCACCTGCGACGACTGCGGCAAGTCCTTCAACATGCGCCGGAAGCTGGTGAAGCACCGGGTGCGGCACACGGGGGAGCGGCCGTACGGCTGCCCCGCCTGCGGTGAGTACGTGACAGCAGCCTGCGGCCCCCCAGGTATCCCCCAGCGGCCCCCTCGTTATCCCCCAGCATGCCCGCCCTGCCACTGTCTGGCTTGCTGTGCTTTCCCCGGGGGTGCCATGGAGGCGGTGCTGTCTCTTTACCCCCTCACAAGGCCTCCCCCACTCATCCCTGCGCGGGGCGGCGGGACCTGCCCTCAGGCATTCTGGGCACAGTCCGGCTGCCGCATGCCCCTCTCCGGCTCCATGGGGCATAGAGCAGTCTGGAAAGGCGTGGTGCACAGCCTGGGGGCACCGTCCTGCTGGGGCATCTCCAGCATGTGGTGGCGTCAAAGGGGAGGGCGTCTGGATCACGTATTGTGGGCAGTTGACGCAGCAGTGAAGTGTCCAGGAAGGAGAGGGCAGGCTGCAGCCACTTCCGAGGGGCGTCACTGCACAGGTGAGGGCGGGGGACTCTGAGTTACCTGTTACCTGTGATCATGGAGTGTTTGAGCCTCAGAAGAACAGAGAGAGAGAGTGTGTGTGTGTGTGTGCGCGCGCACGTGTGCGCGTACACGTACGTGTGTGCACATGCGCATCTGTGACAAGTACTTGTTGGTGCCGATTGAGTCATGGAGGAGTGAGTGAGTGTGGATTTTTACGATTTCCTGTGTGGCGCAAACAGGGAGAGTGCGCAGAGTCCCTCTGTGGGGAGGCTGGAATTGCACTGTGCTGGGAGCACCTCCTCCTAATGGCAGCTGGCATCTAGAATAGGGCAGCACTTCGGGACGTAACCAGAAGGTACTTCTGTTTTTCCCTCCCACTTAAATTGTACACAGATCTCATCTCCCGGGGGAATATAGGCAACTCCGTGACTCTTCTCATTACTCTTTAAACTTGGCAGCACTTGGGGGCTTAGTGGGTTAAGCGTCTGACTCTTGATTTTGGCCCAGGTTGTGATCTCCCGGTTTGTGAGATCGAGCCCCGAGTCGGGCTCTGTGCTGACAGTGTGGAGCCTGCCTGGGATTCTTTCTCTCCCTCTCTCTCTTAAAACAAACAAAAAGAAAGAAAGAAGTTGTTTCTTTAAATCACAGATGCAGTCTCAGATCAGTAATTTAAAATGTCATTTCCAAACTGTTACTGCAGCTGTCAGAGTGACTTCAGGTTGAATTCTCCCTTCCCTCCCCGGCCAGGACCTGTTGCCGGCTTAGAGCCTGCTAGAGGAGCAGAGGGGCCCTGCCTGCCTCACCTTGTGTTTCCAGCCCTTTCTCTCCCCTCACTAGCCATGGTTTCTGACCCTACTACGGTCAGCCTGGGGCCAGAGGAAGAGAAAGAGAGAGCAAGAATGTTCGTTCTTACAGGACAGGTTCAAGTTTTGTAACCGCTTTACTGAGGTAAAAGTCCCACCGCGTAAAAGTTACCATTTAAAGTGGCCAGTTCAGCGGTTCTGCTCTGTTTTTTTTTTTTTTTTTAAATGTTTTATTTATTTCTAGGAGAGAGAGAGAGAGACACAGCGTGAGCAGGGGAGGGTCAGAGAGAGAGGGAGTCACAGACTGAAACAGGCTCCAGGCTCTGAGCTGGCAGTCAGCATAGAGCCCGACGTGGGGCTCGAACCCACGAACCGCGAGATCATGACCTAAGTGAAAGTCGGACGCTTAACCGACTAAGCCACCCAGGCGCCCCATGTTCTGCTCTGTTACTCATGGAGTTGTGCAGCCCTCGCCACAGTTGGTCTATTTCACAACACGGTCGTGCCCCCAGAAAAACTCCGTGCCCACTAGCAGTCACTCCTGGTTCCCACGCCCCGGCCCAGGCAGGCATTAATCTGCTTGCACGTCCCTGGACGTGCGTGTTCTGGACATCTCCTCAGAGTGGGACCACACGGTCTTTCCTGCCTGCCTGCTGTAAGTGGGGCTACTGCTTTGTGTGGGGGTGTGTTTTCATTTCCGCGACTTCCAGCCGGCTGTTTTGCGATGGCTTCCCATTCTGAGCTTTGCAGTGAATAGAGCCCTCCCTCCCCCGCCCTTCCGCTCTGTCCTCTGCCTCCCAGGCTCCCTTCCCCTTCCCTTCCCTCTTCCATCCCCAGCATGGCTCTGCACCGAGCAAGGTGCAGACATACATTTTCCTCCAGCAAGACTTCTTCCTCCGGCCCGGGGCTTTAGCGGTTGACTCCCGGGAGACTTTCCCTGTTGGGGTCCCATCGCCCCTCTGGCCAGTCCTCCTTGGCTGGGCTTAAGATGGCTCCCACTACCCTCGTCGGGTCGGGGGAAACACTGCATCCTGCGCCTCCTGGGACTGCGGCCCACAGCCGTGCACGGCGGCCTCCTCTCTGCGCCCGCACAGCCAGCCCGCTGTCTCTCAGTGGACTCCCACGCGGGAGACCGGTGCTGCTCCACGGCGGCCTCACGGCAAGGATGGGTGTGAAGTCGGGCCCCCCTGTCTTGACTCACGGATAAAAGAGACTCCCCGTGTTCCTCTCCTGCTGGGAGCTCTACTGTGGCTAAAATTCACATCTTCAGGGCCCTAGGAAAGATTATTCCCATCTGCCCAGTAATTCCATTACTGAGAATTTATCTTAAACAGCGTAAGGAAAGATGTTACTTGAACACGAAGTGTAGTGGGGAATGGGTGCAAGCCGCCCACACATGCAGCACATCGAGGAAGGGCTCTGAGGCCTCGAGTCCACGAAATACCGTCTGTCTGTGTAAACCATGTGGTGTAGACATGAGGACACAGAGCCACTGTGGTCACCGCGCTGAGCTTTGGTGTCCTGCGCGGGGAAGAGTAAACTTGTAAGGCCTGGGTGTTGCCCCCCGGTCTGGCTGTACCAGCCCACCTGCCCGACGGCGGGCACTGCAGAGCTGGCCTCCTGCCTTCCCACGGGTCAGGGAGAAGCTCCAAATGTGCATCCACGTAACTGCGTAGTTCTTATCCTCTGTAAACGTGCACTGTCTTCTGGAAGGTTCTCTGTTGGTTTCTGTCTTCTGATCTTACCTGCTCTGATCATGGAGGTAGATTCCCCACCTCTGTCACATACACAGGAAGGAAATAGAAGCAGGAGATGCATATGTAAGATTATGGTAAAAGCAAAACGCTGTTTCTAAATTATCGATCAGCCACGTTAGATTTACGAACACTTAAAACGGGCGAGGTTTCCGAGCACCGGCCGGCAGGGGCGGGCACCTCGGCCTACCTGGCGAGGCACTCCTGTGTGGGGACACAGTCCCTCGAAGGCTCGCACTGAGGTGCCCACAGCTGAAAGGCTGCAGGTCAGAGGCACGCGGCTGGAGGAGAACACGGGCGTCTCCCGGGACAGCAGGTGGCAGGAGGGCTCGACTCCGTGCGTGGGAAAGCGGAGGCGTCCTCTTTTAGAAGGAGGCGGGGCAGGGGGGCCAGTTGGCAGGAGATCCTTCCAGAATGCCCTCTTCTAAAAGGATCCCCCTTTCTTCCTGCAGGGAAGTGTTTCGGGGGCTCGGGTGACCTCCGCAGGCACGTGCGCACACACACGGGGGAGAAGCCGTACGCGTGCGAGGTGTGCAGCAAGTGCTTCACGCGCTCTGCCGTGCTGCGGCGCCACAGGCGGACGCACTGCAGGCCCGAGGCGCACCGGGACGCGCTGGGTGAGCTCACGCAGGCCCTCAGCGCCGCCGACCTCGACAGGCCGCAGAGCTCCGACTCCTTCTCTCGGGACGTGCCTGTCACCTTGATGCCCGTGTCAGTCAAGCTCCCCGTCCACCCGGCGGAAGAGTCCGTGACGGAATTCGACGGCCACACAGCCGGCTCCTGCAAGTTCCGGGCTGTGGTTGAGCCTCACGGACCCGGCGAGCAGGAGAAGCTGGGCCTGGGCCCTGGCAAGCTGGTCAGGCCCCCCCTGCAGCCGGCGCCACCTCAGACGTTCGCTTACCCTGACGCGGCCACCTCGGCCAGCCACCTGCCGGCCGACGGCCTGCCCCTGGGCCGCTCGTCCCTGGCCGCACTGGACAGCCACTGCGGCGACGCACTGGGCGGCCGCGCCGCCTCCACGCCGTGCAGGAGCTCCGAGGGCCAGCTCTTCTCCAGCATGGCGCTCTGGGGGCTGGCCATGAAGACGCTGCAGAACGAAACCGAGCTGGACCAGTGACGGCTGGCGGCAGGCGTCTCCTGAGCTCCCAGGCGGCTCCCGCGCTGCAGGGGGGGGAGCGCCCTGCCTCTACGGCGGCCCTTCCGAGTGCCCGGGACTCGTGGACCCTCCCGGGCTGCGGGTACTGGTCACTCAGGCCTCCGGGGCCAGAGCCAGGGAGGAAGGCCCGTTGGCCGCCCCGCCCAGCACACAGACGCGGGACTGGAGGGCTCAAGTCCCGGGAGCGGCCGCTGGGGACGGCAGCCCGCTGGCCTGAGCCTGCACGGCAGCGTGTGCGCCTTGGGTCCGCAGCTGTACACAGAGTCACGTTCAAGGGGAAATATGTAGAGAAATACAAATATTTTTGCATTTTTACATGACGGAAATTTGTAGTGTTTTGTATTTTAATTTACACAAAAATTTTATTTGTATATGAAACCCATACTATAATTTAAGTTGAATAAATGAAACGACTTTCTATAGCTCATCGTGTGTTTCCTCTGGGATTTTCGTGCACTGAGAGACCATGGGGGTGTGAATGTTAACAGCAGTAAGGGCTCCCCCTGCAGGGACGAGGCCTGGGACGGTGGGCTTCCCAGGGCCTGAGTCCAGGCTCCTGCTCAAGGCCGAGGTCACAGGCAAGCTACGCACCCCTGCAGATCTCCGCCATACGAGAAGAATCTCGTGGCGCTCACACGAGGCCCAGTGAAGCCATCATCCCCTGAAGGAACTTGCCCAGCGTCTACCTGCACGTGTGTCCCCCCTCCCGGCAGACGCGCTGGCCGGCGTGACAGAGCACGTTGTGTCTGTAGGGCCATCGCTGGACGATCCGAATGAGCTCACGCACCTGAAAATGCAGCTCCCCGCCTGGCACCTGGGGCTGCTGGCACAGAGGACCGCCATCTGTCGCCGTCCACCGTCTCTCACCCCGGTACCGCACAGCCCGCGAGGGAATAGGCGGGTGAGGATTTTCCTGGGGAAGCAGCGTGGTTGCAGATCAGAAGGTCCACTTTGAGGCCAGAGTCAGGTTCGCTTCAGGTTGTCACCAGCACCACGGGCCTGCAGCGCTGCAAGTCTGGGTCAGCAAGCGCGTGATCTCCTGTCCCCGACGGAGGAGCCGAGGCTTGCGTGGCCTCAGCCACCTGCTCAGGGACATGGGGCCGCTTATGGCAAGAGCCTGACTCTCCCAAGGGTGCCTGAGAGCAACCTTGAACCTTGCTGGTCCCACATGACTGGGAACTTCTTCCCTCTGTCCCCCTCCCCCCTCTGTCCCCCTCCCCCCTCTGTCCCCCTCCCGCCTCTGCCCCCCTCCCCCCTCTGTCCCCCTCCCCCCTCTGTCCCCCTCTGTCCCCCTCCTCCCTCTGCCCCCTCCCCCTCTGCCCCCTCCTCCCTCTGCCGCTCCCCCTCTGTCCCCCTCCCGCCTCTGTCCCGCTCCCCCTCTGTCCCCCTCCCGCCTCTGTCCTGCTCCCCCTTCTGTGCCCCTCCCCCCTCAGTTATCCCGGCCCCAGCAGCCCTCATCCCCCGAGGACCTACCACCCAGAGATCTGCCATCTGTCAGCTGCCCCTCACAGCCCTGTGTCCCAGGCGGCCTCCTTCCCAGGCTAAACCCAGGGCCCATCACACCAGGGTCCACCCTCCAGCCTCTTCATCAGCTCCCAGCCCTGCCCTCTGCCTGCACAGGGGCATCGGAACGAGGCCCGTGAGAAACCGCTGCCCCGCTTCCTGCCACGGCTCACTTCCGGGGGCCCTTGGCCCATCTAGACCCCCTCCCCACCGATCTAGACCCCACGCTGCCCTTGGCGACTGCCCTGAGGTCTTCACGGCCGTCTTGCCTGTCCTCCCACTCATGGCCTTGCTTCCTTTCTCTGAGGACCTAGAAGCGAACAGCGAGGGGCCTCCCTCTGCCTGTGCCTGTCTGTAGATTGCGGCCCTCCACACCACACCCCTGCGCCCCACCTGCTGGCTTTCGTTCGTTTGTTTTGTTTTGTAATTAGGATTTAACCATTGCCAAACCCGCGGTAGGTTTTATTCATCTCCTCATGAGAACGTGAGCTCCCTGCACTTCTGTCTCTCGTTCGCTGCAGTATTATGCATTGAGCCCAGAACGGCGCCTGGCACTTCATGACGCTCAGCAAATAACTGTCGAAGGGATGTTCTTGGAATATCTTTTAGTCAAAACACTGGATGTCCTGGATAGATCCTCTGTCTTTTCTCTCTGATCCCGGTTCAATCAGACAGCTTTGGTCCCTTTACCCCACTGAAACAAGTCGCGCCCAGGTCCCCGCTGCTAACCCAGAGGTCCCCGTCGTATTTGACTCCTGGACAGAGCTGGTGGTCCAGCGAGCTGAGGCCTCCTTCCCCCGGGAGGCCAGAACCAGGATGTCCCGGAGGGGCAGTCCCTTCCGATTCCTGTCAACTCACTGGCAGCTCAGTCTCAGACCCCTTCTCGCCTCTCATCAGCCCGCACTTGAAGGTTGGGGTGCCTCAGAGCACAGGCCTGGACCCCTCCCTGTCCTTGCTCTCTCCCTAAGCCATCGCCTCATGCCTAATGAGTGCTTAAGTGCTGTTTGCTCGTAACTCCCAAACTCGGCCTCCCCAGAACATTCTAGAATCCTGTGCCCAGCTGCCTGCCGTCCATCGTCGTCACCCTAATGTCCAATAAACCAGAAAACTTTCCAGACTTGGGACCTCATTCTCCCCCTACTCTTACCCACCTCGTTAAATGGCAGTCTCATTCTTCCTGTTGCTCAGGCTAAGAAAACATTTATGGAGCACTTCCTGTATGCCATGTGCTGGGTTTGCCCGAGACTCAAGAGAGTAAGACCTACATAGGCTGAGGGTGCTGGATGAAGACAGTACTTTGTTCTCGTAGAATAAAACTCTAGGGCAAAATTAATTCCTAAGCTCTTTTCATTCCTATTCCCTGTCTCTTCCCTTTCTCCCCTTATCTCTCTGCCGCAAAGCCTGGGCCAAAACAGAGAACGTAGAAGCAGTGAAGAGGCTTGGAAATGTGTAAATGTGTGCTTGGACAGCAAAGTGTCTAGCAGGGGCAGGCCTGGACTTTGTGGCGTGCACATAGCCTAGGCCTCCCGCAACAAGAATAAGCACGTGTGCGCATGTGTGTAAGGTGAACACACACACACACACACACACACTGCTGACCCCGGAGTCAGGGGATCTAGATTGCGTTCTCGGCTCCAGCACCAGTCAGCCATGCGACAGATACCCTGCCCTCACCATTCCCCCGGGCGTCAGTGTCCTGACGACATGAGTGTCTCCAACGTTAGTACTTTATGATCCTCTGAAAACAGCCTGTGGCTAAGTTCCCAACGTGCCGGGGCCAAGAACTGCCCTTCTTCCTACAAAATCGGGGCACAGAGACTGAGATTGTTCAGGTCTTCAGCAGAACCCAGCATCTTAGAAGGTCTGAGCTGGAAGGGACCTTAGAAACAATACCCTGTTTCCATGGGTCTCAACTTCCTGTGAGCTCAGCTGGAAGATCTTGCCGGTGAAATCTGCTAACGGTGCAGATTTGGACATTTTAGGCAAGGCCGACGAATCTGCCTTTCAGCAAGTTTCCCAGATGGCTCTGAGGCAGGCGGTGTGAGGACAGGACTCACGGACACTCTGGGCTTGTCCCCGTCCCTTGCTGGATTGCTGCCCTGAGGTGAGAGGTGGCTTGTCCCATAACAGCAGCAGAGATGCATCATGCTGAGCGCAAGCCAGGCACGGCGGTAGGGGCTTTACAGGAGTCAACTTGTGTAAACTACACAACTCACCCGTGAGGTCAGTCCTCGTTTCCTCCAGATGAGGAGAGTGACCCCCCGAGAGGTCAGGTCCCGGTGGTGACTTGGTGGCAGAGCCCGAAGCCTGGATCAGCCCCAGCCTGGCACGCAGGGCTTGCCTGCCAGGCTGTTGATGGGCTCAGAGAGAACCCGAGTGCCACAGTATTCATGCAGCTCAGAGCCCAGCTCTTCGTGGGAGCTTATCACACCCTTCCTCTTTGATTTCCTCTTTTCTTAGAGTAACGTACACAACAGAAAAATCAGAAAATACGAACATAAGAAAAAAGGAAAAATACTGTTCTCAGCCAGGGATGCTGAGATGGTGGTGGTGCTGGTGGTGGTGATGGTGGTGATGGTGGTGGTGGTGATGGTGGTGGTGGTGATGGTGGTGGTGATGATGGTGGTGGTGGTGGTG